TATGGCTTCAAACACTTCACTATATTTGCCTCTACCCAGTTTTCTGACAAGCTGATAATCATCCTGGTTTCTGCAAAGTGATAATACAAGTGAGTTAGTGGCTTTGTTGACAAGGGAAAAAAATAAAAACAAATAGTAAAATTTTTCTTACCCCCACTCAACGACATGGGACTCATAGTCCCAGTATTCCCGAGGTCTCTGTGTGTTTACATCAGGGTAAACTCGAGAGCGGCTTGGAACAGGGCCAGACATATTCTATGCACAAAGGTCTCTAATTGTCCTAAAAGGAAATTGAATTAACAGAGTTAACCCTTATTCACAAAATATCTTCCACATAAACTATCAGAGATAAAATTTTATTACCTGGCAGTTGGCCTCCAGGATGATGAGAGATGCTGATGTTTGTGTAAAAGTTGTGCCTTTGTTGTCAGGAGGCTAAATAGGCAAAGATATTGAAATGATACATTAGACATAATCTACTGTCCCTACTGCAATACACATAAAGTGCTGCCTAATGAGAATGTTAATTTATTTACTTGTAAACAAGCATATAGTTATGATGTCTCTGTTAAGTAAGTTGTGTCTATAAATATGTTGAAGTGTGAAATGGAGAAACCTGAATGATAATGGGGGCATCCAACCAGTCTAATCAGGAGGTACAGGGCTCAATGCAGTCATTACTGGGGGCTACACAACGGCAGTGTTTCCTGTTGAATAAAAGGACAGAATGTAGGCTGATTAAAATCAGTGTTGTGAGTAAAGCAGCAATGTGTTAGCTTAACTATCCCAGATAGTGTGCCAGCCACTGTAATTACAAAATACAGTTCGATAATTTTAGTTTAGTGAAGGAATTGCTAATCCATAAAGATATAGGCAGTTGGCAACATTAAAAAATACATTTCAAAATAAATTACTGCGAATGCTATTCACTGGCCAAAGGCCCGTAGCGATACATGAGTATGTAAGCTAACAATCGCCACCAGGTAGTTGAACCGGTCACTGGTTACACTGCTACCTAGTTAGCATTAGCCATTAGTTAGCGCTTTCAGTAGAATGAAATGGGACTGTAGAATACTAGCATTAGCATTGGCTAGCATAGAGAAAAGCCGGGTAGAAAGTCACTTAGTTGTAGGCTACAATAGAGTACTTGAGGGTCGAATAAGACACCCATGTCCTACACAACAAATAGTTAATCAATTTCATAGGCACAGTTTTATCTACCGGCCTATAATAAAAGAAAATGGTCTGAAATAATTCTTTGAAATGTGTGCTAAGCTAGCAGCTACGAGTGGGAATAGCTTGCTGCTGGCGAGGCTGACAACGCCTTGAAAAAACATCAAACAAACACTCTGATCAGGCAGCCAAACGCCAGTCCAGCTGGGTTACACGTTCCTTATTTGCCTACATACGTAAATAACAACCAAGGGATCAAGAAGAGCGTCGATTTAGAGTAAATAACACGATTACCTCTCAGCGTTGTTAGGACGTCAAATATGGCGAAGCTTGGGATCAAGAGCTTAGTGCGAAGAGCCTCTCCGAAAGAGGGCGCTGTGCTTTTCCTATTGATGGGGAGACCTGAAATCTGCAGCAACCAACAGGTCAGTGGAAAAAGTTCAAAATGGATGTTCAAAGTACACTGCTTAACAGTTTGTATCTGAAATCATTAGGTTTACAGCACATGCTCCATAAAGGGAAACGGGATATCACTCCAGAAAAGATCTGATTTGATTCCTAGGCTATTAGTTCTCTCTTTAGAATGAACTGGTATGAGCTCCCTGCAAAATAAACCTTAAATTCCAATATAAGACCTATGTGAAAACATGCACAATGCACAAAGGTTACTTTTTGGGTGGGGGTGTGCTGCCTGAAATATGGGTGTTTTCATTGCTTTAAAAAAAATACATTCAAGAACATGCATTGCATTATTATCAAGGGATTGCCACTGCACACATCTGACCTATAACTTGGCTTGAACATTTTATGCCATACTGAGGAACATTCTGGGCAAATATTAACATAATTGTGAAAACAAGACCTTCCGCCATATGTGGCAATAGGCTTACTGTAATATTGTCTTTTACTGTAATATTGTCTTGTTTGCCCTGTGTGTTGTATGTTCTGCCATTGCGCCGCACTTTGCCAATTTCCCTTTGAGATGGTAAAGCACATTTTATTTGATTGATCTGAAGTTGAAAAGTGAACGTTTAACTTCTGTGGCTCTGTAATGTAAACGAACAACATATGTTTTCTAAATTTTCTCACAAAGAAGAATTCAGTAAACTCTAATTAAATTACAAGTTGGCTCTGCTCTTGTGTTACTTTTGGATATGTCTGAGGAACAGTGTTCAGATTTTAAGGCTCCTGTTTCTAGAAAACCCACAGACACCTGTAATTACCAAACAAAGAGACAAAAGTCTATTCAGTCTTGTCCAAAAGTGAACAGAAACCTCAAAAGTGAACAGAAATAGTGAATGGGCTTTTGAGTGTAAACTGAGCAGCAGCTGACCTGTCTTACACATGGTTACACACAACAACAGTCTTTGACGACAACCAAATCTGATACATCATCACAAACTATAATTAACTCTGGCAAGACTTAATAGAGGTACAAAAGCAGTGCGTTCCTAGAGTTTACCTGAAATCACTGCTGTGCTGTTAGACTCAGAGGCGAACTGCAACAATGAACATGTAAGTGATTATATTTTATGTGATAATATATGTCAATTTATAGAGCTTTATTTATTTATTACAGCTTCATCTGTGGTGTGATATTTGTGGCACTGAAATGGCGCAGTTTCGTTGCAACAGTTCCAGTGAAAGGTAATATATGCCTGTTTCTATATTAATTTAATATGTAGTCTACAAACTCATCTTATGTTCAACTAAACCATTATTAGGATTAGAACAGTAACCCTCAAATCTGATGTGATTTAATGTCTCAGAGTAGCCAGTTGATAGAAGCAAATATAGTTCATATGCATTTAGTGTTTTCTTTCTTTCCTTAAACGTTTTCTAGATCCAGCAAGCTATGAGATCACAATATTTCATGCTGGTTTGGCGAATCAAGCAATAGGAAGCACTAACAACACAGCGTCAGGCACTGGCTCACCCACTGTTGTCCATGTCTACAGCGCAGAGCAAATTGTGAATGGGATCCCACAAGTTCCTCAACATGAAAGTTGGGAGGTGGCAGTACGCAGGGCAGTGTGGAATACAGCAGCCAGTGAGGAACAAACTGGAGCCAAGACGTTGCCTGGTATAAAACAAGCAAGGCAGGAACAAACAAGAGACAGTCTTTCTCCAAAGACTCAGCTAGCAAGCATTGAGCAAGCAGACACTGTGGACAAAAAAGCAACAAGTGGAGAACTGCCACATGGTGCCACCGCAAACAATAAACAGGCAAGTGAAGAACAAATACTACAGAGAGTCTCACCAAATACTCATCAGGAAAGTGGGGAGCAGATAGCAGATGATATCACACCAAAGATACAACCAACGAGCATTGAGCAAGCAGATCCTGGAGTTGACCAAGTGATAAGTAGAGAGCAAAATGTCCATTATGTCTTATCAAAAATTCCTCAGATGAGCGAGGAGACAACATCAGACAAAATCTCACCAAATGCCCAACAAACAAGCACAGAGCAAGTTAATGCAGAAAAGAACCAGGCAGTCAGTAGAGAGCAGAAAGAAACTGGGATTTCAGAAAAACTAATTGCAAGTGAAGAACAGCAAAAACCTGAAACTAAACCAGATACTCAACAGGCAAGTGAGGAGCAGCCAGCAGGGAAAACATCACCAAATACTGAACAGGTAAGCAAGGAGCAACCAGATACAAAGGATGCAGAAAATACACTGACTGTGAGTGAAGAGCAGACAGCACAGAGGACTCCAAAGCATAAACAACATCCCAACAATCTTAATAGTGAAGAAGGAATTGATACCAGGAAACAGAAAATAGCTATTGCAAGTAGTGTGGAGTTGGATACGCAGGAGCCAAGCCAAAGCATGTCAGTGGAGGATGACAGTGCAGAGGAAACCATACCAGAGGCAGCCAGCACCAGCTCAGATAAAAACGATGACACATATGATGACCTTGAGGATGAAGGTAAAAAGGAAAACTAAATACTGTCTTAATTTTGCAACGCAATTTTAACAAGTTGTATTTCCTTAGATACATCAGAAGCTATCAGTGATGAAATACCTCAAGAGGGTAGGAGTGGTGTTCAAGATTTTTTTTTTTAATTAATTCTCTATTAATTATTTTTAATGTTATATTTTCCAGAAGGCCTACCCTCTGTAGCAGTGACCACCAAGCCAGTATCGTCGAACACACAATCATTGGCAAAATCATAAAATGCAGTAATCTATATTGTAAGTATTAAACCCATGTTTGAGCAGGTTAATAAAAATATTGTTATCATTTACTGCAGTTTAAATATGTTGTAAAATTATAATAAGAAACTCTTAATAACAATATTTATTTTTTTCCACCAAGTTCTGTAAATTCTTCCCCCAGTGGCTGACTCATCGGAAGCTGATTCCACATCCACGTGCTGGGATTTTTAAAAAAAGATCCTTTGTGACTATTCTAAACATCATGTCATGTAATTTACACTACCAGTCAAAAACTTGGACACACCATTTCATTCAGTCAGTCATTCAATTTTTCTTCTTTATTTTTGCTACTTTCTACATTTTAGATACATCACAGACATCAAATATATATGAAGCAAGATTATCTAATTACAGTATGTAGTGAAGAAAAAAAGTCAAATAACTCAACTAAATTATTCTTCGACAAGGTATAGCGTATATAAAATATATATAAAATATTTAGTGGAGTTATTTACCTTTTTATCTTCACTTCATATATTTTATGTATTCTGTAGTAGGAAAAAATAAAAAACATTGAGTAGATGTGTCCAGACTTTTGACTGGTATTGTATATAAAGAGAATTTGCATTTAAAACAAATTGTAAAAAATATATGTGAGATAAATATTGAAAGTGGTTGTAATTTAATGTTTATTAGTGTAAATTAACAATAAACATATGATTAATGCATTTCCTTAAATAGCTTCTTCACCATACACTCCAGTCATGTGCTATTAAATATATTATTTAAGCACAACATTATGATTTACTGCCTATAAAGTACATAGCTTGGTATACATTTGTACATATTCTTGGAAACCACTGTTGACTGAAATTAAGGTTATCTCCATTGTCAAGACAAAAATTACCAAAAAAAAAAAAAAAATTCACATAATATACTAGTTACATACAGTATAGTTAGTATACAGTATGTGTGCATTATAGTATTTATCTTGACTCTACTACCTAAAGTGGTTAAGTTCACTGTACACATCAGACTGGGTGCCTTGTAATTCCTGTAAAACAAATAATGTATGAATCTATTAGCCTTATGTCTATGTTAATGTTTGCAAACTGTTTTACCTGATAGGGCGATTCTGTGACGTCTTTTGATTCAGAAGATTGTGCTGTTCTTTCTGTAAAGCAATAATACTTACTGCTTATTCCACCCAAAAATTATTAATAGTAGTTACCATACTAAAAAAAATACTAGAAATACTAACCATCATGAAAATCCTGTTGCCTGTGTGATCTCACAAAACAAATTACTGATATAATTATGAAGATGGTCAGTAAAATGTCACATATGACAATCCCTATGATCACAGCCATATTAATGTGGTAACAGGTGCCACAGTCTGCAACAAACATCCACACTGGATTTGAGAATCAGCAACAAAATATACTGGCATTATTCAAAAGTCAGTGCAATCCTTCATTCATCCAGGGTTGGTCCAAGGTACTAAAGGTTTTAAAGGTAGGTGGACAACGTCTTGATTTAAACATGTCTAGGTTACTTCCCTTGAAACCATTTCTACCAAAAGTACACTATGTAACTTTTCTAGACCACCACCGTCTTGTCTTCATGGAAATTATATTGTTTTGCCTAGAATGGTCCACATTATGGCATTAAATGTATTTATCTCAGTGGAGACAAGCATGTGACCCTACCAGGCCAAGTTGCAGGTCAGATCTGTTAAGAGACAAGCCCACTTACAGTAATAATGTGTTTTTCAAGGTATTTTTAGCCATAATTGAATTGAGATAAAGAGTTTAAAGCCACTGTGGAAATGTTCAGGCAAAGCAATAACATCTTGGAAATAAGCATGGGCCACACCCCCAGCCAGAAAAGTTCCATAGTGCTCCTTTAAATTAACAGTGTCTACCTTGTTGTTCCTCTGTGCTTCCTAAAGAGAAAAAAATAAGTGTTAATTTTCAAGGTATCCAAATAGTCAATAGAAGAGAAAAGTACACAACATACCAAACAAGGAACCAACGCACAAGGTGTCAGGCAGCATCGTAGTGCAGTATATGCAGACGGAGAAAATGTTTGGTCCAAGTTTTCTTCTCTTCTCTTGTTTTTAATGGTAAACAAGCGACAACTAACTGTCCACCACAAGCAATGGCAAGAGGTATGAAATCATGTGACTGTTTTAGCAGAAGGGGGAGTTTAGTAAAAAGGAAGTGTCCCTGTTTCATGTATCATATTCATGTGAGAGATCCAAGTTAGTTCCTCACATCATTATAATATAAATGGGAAAATGCATGATGTACGAATACATGTGCAGCTTTTACCTTTAAACTTTTTGAATATTAAAAGGTTTTGTTTGTTCATTACACCTGCATATTGTACAGCTATGGCCCATATCTCAGAAAAGACACCACACTTCCTCATGCTCTGCGGTTTACAAAATGACCTCAGACCTGTTATAATCAGTAAAATGAAAGTTAACTAATGAAAGCCGTTGTGACCATCAAATTTTAGACTACAATCAGAATTATAGCATAAAACTCCTCATTGGTTCAAGACTGGTTGCTTCATTAACCACCTTTGAGAGACAAAAATGACCACTGCACACAGATACACCAGACAGGCAAAAAAAAAAAAAAAAAAAAAAAAAGATGCCAGAATGTTATAAGCCTATATTAGTTTTTAAAGATTGAAACAAAAAATGAGGCTAGGCTTGTGATGTTTTGTCATGAGTGGTTATGAGTGGTTGGAAATTTTTAATCATTTCTTCTTCCATCCTCCTTCTATGTCTTGTTTCAGTGCAAAACAATAGCAGTGACCCTATGCTTGTTTTAAAGCATTTTACAATCTTACTTTAAAACCTCTTTAAAACACAACAAACAGACTTGAGAATTTTTTTTTTTTTATTTATTAAATTTGTATTCACAGATGACACAGAATATGTTGTAATTAAGCAATCCATATCATAATACAACATAAACATTTAAAATGAGGACATAAGAGAAAATGTTATAAAACTACAGTAAAAGTTATGTTTGTGATCAGTTTAGGCCTTGCATTTCGCCGGGACATTCATGTAAACTTTCTCAGCTATGAAAAAAAATAAAAGAGAGATTTTTGTTAATATAATTGTTCTACTTATTTTAGATATACAAAAGACTTTACCCTTATAACTCCTTTGCAGCTGATTTCGGGCACAGTGGTAGGTTACCATAACTATTAAAAGGGTCAGTACGATGTCCACACAGATGATGCCTGCTACTGTCCCAGGTTCAATCTTATAGCATGACCCAGAGTTCTCTGCCACACACAAACACACAGAGAGGCTTTGCAGTAGTTATTTAGACAATGTATTCACTTCCTGTAATCATACCTGAGACGGCCACAGCCACATCTGCTACAAAAAACAAAACAAAACAGAAAATATCACTGTTCATGCTGCAGCATTTTAGTTTCCATCCTGTTAACATTTAGTGTGGTTTCATTTCCTGTGTATGCCCATCTTACTTGAAAATTGTGAAAACAAGAAAAGATTAATACTTACTGCATATAGAAAACAGAAGAAAGTAGAATTTGCTGATTGCCATTTTAAAAAGCAATTCAATGTGTTCACTAAAAAAACAGATCAAAGCATTACAAAATGTCTCTAATAAGAAACATTCTTAAATATTTTGAAGTAATTAAATAATGTATGTACACTATAATATTTGTAGTTGGCTGAAAGCAATGACATTCGAAATGAGCGTTGTATGTATCTTGAGTTACCAAAACAGTTACTCATCTAACTAAGATTAAGGTAGAAAAATTTGTCATAAAGTCTTCATACCGTGTTGAGCTTCTGAGGTCTTTGGAAACAATGAGAAAGTTTCTGCAAAGGTTTCACTTAATGTACCGCCTTCTGCTGTAGGTGGTCCTATAGCCTACTGGAGGAAGTTTGTTATTATTATTATTAAACTTAAACATGTTCTTTCAAATATTAATTTGAAAAAGGAAAACATGGATGTGTGTGTGTTTGTATTTGACCCTTAACATGATGAGATATGACTGAATCAGCAGACTAGTCTACTCTATTCTTTTTTCAGTTGATTTTGCTTATGCAGGTGTACCAGCAGAGGGAGCCATGCGCCATGACAATCTCACTGCAGACTTGTTATGTGTTAGGCTGAACTGCATACATCACCCTGTGGCATTTTTAAAGGCTATAAAATAATATGATTTAATAATAAAATGGGAGCTATTGTTTCTCTCGTTGCGCCCTTAGGCAAGACACTGAGTCTGTGTACAAAGGTGAAGGCTATAGTAGCTCCTTGATGTAAAGCGCTTTGAGTGCCCATTGGAGGTAGAAAGAGATATTTAAATGGTCACATTTAAATATCTCTTTATCTTAGTAGAATTGAATATGAGAGAAGGGGGGTTATATTTAACCTTGAGCTCGGGATACTAAACTCATAGGACTATGGCCAAGACCTAATCTTTTGAACCAAGACAAATGTCATTGCATTAATGTATTTTGGACTGGCAGAATGAGCTCTAAATAGGCTAAAGGCCTTTCTTTTCTTAGATAAAAAAAAAAGAAAAAAGAATCAGTTTACTAGGCCGAGAATGTAGAATAAATCACCTGAGACAATAATTGTATGTAATGTCATTATAGGTACTAAAGATTATTGCTTATAGTTTGGGATGAAATTGAGAAAATATTACACAGCTTAAGTGAGTCAAAGTGATTTTTAGGAAAATGTTTGTCCTCCTCACCTAACCTCAGAGCTCCTGTGCTTCAGTTTATGGATGTAACAGCCCTGAGACTGTCTGGAACACAGTGCAGGGCACCTCTACACATTTCCCGTATGCCTTGTCCACCGACTGGAACAGGCAGCAGGAGGCAGGTATTGTACAACTTTTTTTTTTTAAATGAAGATGCTTCTCTGATTCTGTGGACAACTGTTTTAGTCATGGTAATCGGGGAGACAGGGCCTTCTCTGTGGCCGGCTCTAAGCTCTGGAACACTCCCACGTCCGAACAGCCCCCATGGTGGAGTGTTTTAAGTCTTGTCTTAAGACACACTTTTATTGTCTGGCTTTTAACCCCAAATGAGTTGTGTGTTCCTCTGTGTCTTTTATTCATTTTATTTATTTTACTTATTTACTGTTATATTTATGATTTTTATGGTTTTGCTTTTATTTGATTTTACTGGTTTTATTGTTTTAGGACTGGTATGACTAAATTTTAGCAATTTTCCTTTTTGTTGTCTTTTTGTTGTCTTCATTGTATGATCTCTGTGCAGCACTTTGGAAACTGCTTTGCTTGTAAAATGTGCTATATAAACAAAGTGTTTTTGGATTTCAGTGGTTATAGTCAAAATAGTTAGAAAAGGAGCGAAATCTCAAAAATATGACAACAAAACAGCTCTATGTGACTATGATCATGGTGCTGCAATCTGATTTTAAAGTACTGCATTATTTACAACTGGGTATATATATATGTGTGTAAAATGCTATACAAATTTCATATATTTGCAATACATTCTATTTAAACAATTATAACCATTAAAATATTTGCTAAGCCTTTTATATAATGGTGGCCCATTTCAGCTGAAAGACATGGTTCAAATTACCTTTAAAGTGCCCCTTTAAGACTTTAAAAGTACTGTGTAACTTTTCTGGTTTAGGTTCTGCTATGCTTATCTCCATGGAGATGGTATTGCTTTGCCTGAAATGTTCCATGGTGTGCATTTAAACATTTCCATCTAGGATTTCTTCATAACAGGTGTTTCTTTTTCTCAAAAGCACAATAACTCTCTCTGTGAATGGGGCGACTCTCCACAGATCTGAATATAGCGTAGTGCTGTAACCTGCTTGTCTCTCTTGTGATAGAAAGGTTTAATCTGTACTGGAACAAAGCTGTAACATTTCATGGAAAGATCAGGTGTCAGACCCTCCGCAAGAAATCTCATGCAATATACCATTAAGATAAATTGAGCTACCATCAGAATGTTCTGTTTAAAAACTATAGATCTGATCTGGTTTAGCTAGAGCAGACATGTCAAACTCAGGCCCGGGGGCCAAATTTGTCCCACGATATAATTATATTTGGCCCTTGAAATCATATTGAATATTTATTAGAGCTGGCCCGCCGGCTACAGATAAGGCTATAGAGACATTATTTATTTAAAATGTTGTTATTATTTTATATTATGCTTGTTCTGGATTCAATGTTTAAGCAAACCTATTATTAAACATTTATTTTAATAAGAAAATGTTTAATATTACATATCTCGAAAGAAGAGAAAACATGCAGATGTTATTGAAATTTTTCAGTAAATATTTAGTTTGGCCCACGACTGAGCTAGACAGAGTAAATTCCAGTTATGAGTACACACAGTCTCAACATGTATTTGTATAATTTATGTAGCTGTAAATTCATGTTATATTTCGTTATGAAATTTATAGTTTACAAATTAGACATTCCTGCCAGTGCACTTTTTTGCTCTGTAGACGGAATGTGAAGTATGCCCCCTCCCACAATAATCCCCACACTCCAATCAAATGTTTAGTAGATTAGAGAAGAAGCAATACATTGAGACCCTCTGCATACACTGGCAGTGAATATTTAATATTTAAAGAGCTACTTAAGAGTGGGTTCAGAGTGGAGCTATTTAAAGAGCACACCCAAACTTATGTGCCTTATTTTTATCTGATGACTCAATTTCCCTGATTTACTAAATTTACCTGAGTCTACATAAAATTACCTGGATCTTTTACAGTAGTAACTTGTCATTGATGACCTCTCATGTATAACGTTAGAAAAAGGGGAACGCTTTTTGATTGTCAAAAATAAAACAAATGCGGTAATCTGTGTAGGCTATAATAATAGCCCTTATAAGAAGACTTAAGTTCCTCTTAAGGTGGTTTTCGCGCTGTTGTGACATAGAGGCTTTCCCTCAGGGAGGAGGGGCCCGCGGAGCAGCGGGGCGGGACGAGAACAACGTGCTCTGTGTGTACAACCCTCCTCATAAACAGTACAACCCTCTTTATATACAGTCAATGGCACAACCGGAGCCAGCGTAAGAAGAGCGGTAGAAGCCCGGAGCAGCGACACTCACGGACAAAACCCGGGACATCCAGACTGTGGCGGAGAGAAGACAAGTCCACTGACGATACCAGCGATAATCCAAAGCAGACGAACTATAGAGCACAACTGATTCTGACATGCACTTTGAGAAAAGTGAGTATCTTAACCCTCCAAATACCGCTTCGTATGGCGAGTGTTCTGAAGTCTCATTTACTAATTAGTGATTCTACTGTACATAACAGCATTGATCTTGTAGGATAATTCTAATTCACCTTTATCCGTATCTATATCTATGCCAGTGTTAGGTTTACTGGTAAGTTAACATTAGTATTATCTGAAAAAGAAGCATGAATTAGAAAATTTAATCCATTCATAAACTCATTAATTTCACTCAAGCATAGGGTATGTGTTGGTTTAAAGGTTTGTTTACTTTTTGGAAGTTTTGTACCATTTAAAATGGTACAATACTATGTGATGAATTAATTGAAGCTTATTACTAGGGAATGAGGGATCAGTTGGCCTATCTTTATTTTATTTCTTTTCTTTTATTTCTTTGTGTTACAGAACAGACTATAGATTTAAAACATTTGTACACAGTATGAACACACTGTAGGTCTAATAATTTGCATGGACTGGCGCTATTGGTGAATCCAGGAGGTTATCACTTGGGGAAACCCTCTTTAGCCTCCGCCCATCTTCTCTTGTTTTCACTTCCTTCTACTTAATGCCTAAACATGAAGCGTTTTGACATCATGATATGCTTTACTGGTCACATATTGCATACTGTGCTGTCTCTGTTGAACACAAAAGAGGAAGGGCTGGCACACTAGTTTCTCTGAGGAGAGAGCCAAAAGAGAAAGGTCGTCGGAATCCCCACCCTCCCACGCACATGAGTCAAATCCAGGGCTTTCCACCGGCCAATTTGAATGTAGCACAGCAGTGACCCAGCAGACAGTGCAGGAATACCCAATATAGTTTTATTTCAGAAGAAATGGTTACTCAAGTATCTATTAAACTACTTTCAAATACTTTAGAAGTATAAGCTATTTATAGTATTCATATTTTTCCAGACAATGTTGACAACTTTTTTCTTCAGAAGAAGATATAAGATTTAACTCAAAACCAGACAGAAAGAGGAGAATTTATCACTAAGAGGGGGATTTAGAGGCATAAAAACAGTTGATAAAACCTGTCCAAAGAGAAAAAAATCCAATCAAAAGTTTGTAAATATATATTGCAGATAGATCATTCAGCACTTGTGTTTGTCTGATCTTTGTTTGCACACAAATTAGCTTTTTTGATTGCGCCAGACTTTTAATAATTACATACTAAAATGATTGAATTTCAAAATAGTTAAAAATAGTGACCCAAGAAAACTATTAAATAGATAAATATACAGTGACACAAAACAATGTTGCAATAGCCAACCACTAGCTCAGACATTAGCTCACTTCCACCTTGTTCAGCTGATGCAGAAAAGTGAAACCTGCATTACATCATCTGAGTCAAAGGTGACATTTGCTTTCAAAGATCAAAAGTGGATAACCTTTGTGGCTTTTATTAAACTTCATTTATTCTCACTGTGACCTTTGTACATTGGTTAGAGTCTTTACAATAGTTTTGTGTGTGTGTGTGTAATTACTTATAGCAAGATTTATTTAGGGTTTATCAAGGGTTGTCAGGAAAAAAATACTAAATGACACTGAAATTTAAATCTAAAGGTTTAACTAATTCAAGTAGGTGTCAATTCTGAAAAAGTGAAGTGCCTTGCCTAAGGACACAGCGACTGGTGCCCCGCTGTGGCTCCTGATTTTCCCAGGGGTGTCTCCCATCCAGTTACTAATCAGCCTTGCTTAGATTCTGAGATCTGAAGAGATCAGGCTTTGACAAGGAGGTTTGGCCACATTACTTTTATTTTGTGTTGAAAATGGCATACGGTATGGTATATGGTAGTTTACTATAGGACTACATCAGTTCAATTCAATTAAATTTTTTCCACAATTTAAAATTATAATCCCACAAGGCACACCTTTATACACATATATAAATATGTACATGCATATATTATATATACATCAGTGTACTTGTACTGCATTTTAATATCAAGCTTTTTTCACTGAAACAAAATTGAGTTTGAATTTTTTGTTTTGAGACAACACTGTAAGAGTCTGACACAAATCTAAACCTTGCCTCATTTGTTTTATTTGCATATGTTTTTGAAAATGCATCCATCTGCCCGTCACTGTGGGTGTGTTCGATAATAGTGAAAGCAGAAATCACCTAGTAGTAAGTTGTCTTCTTTTCGTGTCCCCATTGCAACAGAAAGCAAAAGACAGCATCACGTGTCAAAAGTGCCGAGTCTGATTCACCGGAGACAGGAAGATGTGGTTTGGTCTGTGTGCAAGCGTAACGGAGCGGAAGGTGTCACAGAAAATGAGCAGTGGTAATCCCATGGCACAAGGTTTTTCTAATGTATTTGAAGATTTGGCAGCCACAGATTCTGTCTTCCTAATGGAGAGAGAGCTTTGGTGCTGGTTCCATCCTCTCAGTGGAAATAAGTCTTATCTTTGACTTTGACAGTGTTATCTGTGGTCATATCTCGTCACATGGAAATACTAGAATTCTGTCATGTAAGATTATTAAGTTCCTTTTCCTGTTACCTGGAAATGGTATTTTTTATCACCAGGATATTTTTGTATGTGCTTTATTTAACTTTAACACTTGACATGCTGGAGTAGGTTTTAGAGTGTCAGTTGTCAGTGTTAATGTTGTTGGAACATTATGTCATGACATTAAACAGCACCATGCCAAGTTAAGCCACTGTGAAATAATAAATACGATTGTGTAATATAAAAGTGAAGTCTCAGCACTGCACCACTATCATTGTCTAAATAGTATTTAAACCTATGTCATCTTTGTCTTTTCCTCAGCGTCAAAGGAGAAGCCGTGCACTCAGCCCACTGTGAAGAAACTCCTGGAGCAGAAGAGGAAGAGGGAAACATCTTCAGTGCTGCCATCTTGCTCCCACTCCAGCCTTGCTCCTCCAACTTACACAGTAAGACATCACATACAGCTCAGGTTTCAAATAATATTAACTGTTGATGACCTTTATGTTTTTTTCTAGCTGTCTGAAGGAGAACCTTCAGATTGTCCAGGTAAATACTTACTTAATAATAATAATATTGCAATGGTTGTTTTGGAGATACTGGCCATTCATGTTTGTGCAGTACCTGAACCTGAATCTGAAAAGATAATGAGATTTTAATTTTTGCACAAATCTAATTCCAAAACTACTGCTTTGGTGATGTCTTCTGAGTCTGTAGATGATTATGGGGGTTGAAGTATTATTAAGTTATTATGTGAAAGAATTCCACAACAAATCACACATGTATGGCCATTATGGTTGATAATCACTTATCACTAGAAAGAAGAAATATTACACAGTTCTTCTCTATACAATTGCAATAGTTCTCTTTCTTTTTTGATTTAGGTGGATCAAACATACAGTCAGAAATGGCAGTGAGTTCTCAGATGTGGACTCCAGCACAGTGCAGTTACCCCTCATCACAACCAGGACCAAGCTACACCCATTCGTACAGTCTGTCAGGCACCCCAGAATATGAACCACTGTCCCATCTCCCAACCTTTGGCAACACACAGCCTCAGCCATATGTAAAATTATACTCATTCTTATAATAACATTTAACAATATTTTGGAAATTTGTGTTATTGATAAGTCATATTTTTAGCAGGAACCCTTGATGACAGACCTGAATTTAAGTTCACCATGGTCAGTAGTTGGGGTGGGTTCCAGCCAGAATTCAGTATTGAATTTTGTTACTCCATTGGATGAAAACAAACTGCAAGAAGCCACGATGTTCATCAGTGGAATGGACTATAGCAGGACCACTGAGCAGGATGAAGATGGGGACACGTGAGTATAGTTTTGCTCAACAATTTCATTGAAATTAAGCCTTACTAATTATAGCTGTAACATTTCAGGTTAATAGAAAAATAAACTGTCTAGCAATGTAGAGCAGGTTGGGAATATACCGTTCTGTCACAACAACAAATTTTAAATAATGGTATACAATATGGCTAAAGAAAATATCACACTAATATTGAAACTACTATAGGCCACTGACACAGTAACTCTAAAACAGGGAAATCCCAGAAAGCCCTCTTTTAAATGTACCACATTAGTGAAATAAAAAACATGAGCTGAAATAAATACATAGCAGAATGAAACCCTTAAGATGTGAGTAAGTATCTATTATGAGTCATAGAAGTTACTCAGTTATTCAGTTTCTGCTTAAATGTTCTTATTCATCCTAATTTTAAATTAAAGTTCCCCAGTGGTGCAAAGAAAAGGTGCAGAGGGTAAATGTTCATCCGTCCCAAAAAATATAGTTCCATCATTGATTGAAAAAGTCAATATAATAATGATTGTGACTGGCCTAGATGAGAGGGTTTAAACTTTACAGTAATGTAATCTGTTAGCTGCCTTTGTGGCAATCAAATGTCAGGGTTGTCCGTGCTTTTTGAGAGTATGTTTATTACAATTATATGTAAGGTATGACTGTATAACAATTATCCAAACAATGGCATTCATAGTCAACAGAAGATGTAACAATAATGGAAATATCGTGATATCATATTTTCAAAGGTCTCACAATTATCGTGAGCCATCACAATATATCAAATTACAAGTCTCTTTGGTTAAATTAATAGTTATGGTGCAGCAATAGCTAAAAACTAGACTACATGAAGATATAAATGTTATAAGTACTTTTAAATCTTAGTTCTTTGGATTAAGCCTTGTCAGGGCTTTTTAAGAGGAAAAAGTTTTGTTAGCCACCACAAAATATCGCAATAAATATCGTACTGTGAGATGTATATCATGAAAATATCATACCAAGAGATTTGGATATCGTTACATCCCTAGCTAACAATAGTGCGTGCCATTACTTTTAGCATGCTGCATATCTACACTGCCAAAGGCCTCCGGGAGTGTGCCTACGCTGCTGCAGAGAGACTCAGATCAGTGGGAAGGCTGGATGCAAAAGAACACAAGGGCAAGGTCAGTGTACAAATAATTAAAAAATATATAGTATATTTACATGAAACCATTCACCATGAATAAATATTTGATTTTGCATGTATCTGCAGACAGCTTTACTGGTGGCAGTAGCTGCTAATCATCCAGAGATTGTACATGATCTTCTGTTACTGGGGGCAGATATTAATGCATGTGACATAAATGGGCAGACTGCTCTTCATCTGGCTGCTCACTATGGCTACAGCATGGTCCTGCAGGTAAAATAATATCAGATTTTGGTGTAACCCATGTAAATAAAATACATGTTCTAACATATATAATATAATAAAAATGTTTTGTTCATTGCAGGTCCTACTAAGTGTGCATTCTGCTAACCTAGAGGCACGCAACTTTGAGGGTAAATTTGTCTTACTTACGTGCATCAATAATACAAACAGATTGGTTAGTTTGGGTCGGATATTTGGAAACTTATAAAATGTGCTTTAAAAAGAACATGGATTTGGATTTGAATATATATACATAATTATGTTTGTTTCAGGAATGACACCTTTGCACTGTGCAGCCCTGTCCCACTGTGCAGAGATGAAAACCATATATACTGGTGGACTGTCAGATGGAAGAGCTACAGAGAAACTGACCTGTGTCGACTTGCTACTCACTGCTGGGGCATCTCTGCTCAGTCAGGTTTGGTACTTTCTAATTACTTAATAGTAAAACAGTTACAAGCTCCAACAATACAACAACACCTTGATCTGGGGTTTTACAGAATTAACCCACTTGAATGTAAATAGCTTTCTCTATCCATTTCTATGTTTGTGTTGTCTTTTTTCAGGAAATTAAGAGTAATAAGACTGTGCTGCACTTAGCTGTGAAGGAGGGGAACATTGTTCTGGTCCGTTTTCTGCTCAGGAATCCACTGGCCAATATGAAAGTGTTTGTTGATGTGAAAGAGTTTGTCAATATGAAAGTAAGTCCCACGTGAGTCACAGTTAAGCATGATGTAATGTCTGTAGTGTTAGTGTAAGTGTTAACACCTACAGCAGCTCAGGCTAAACTCATGCTCCCTCTGTGCCATAGGCCCATGGACACACGGCTTTACACATGGCGGCTGGTCTCCATGGTAACCCTCATCAGAAGGAGATGATGCAGCTGCTGCTGAGCCGCGGGGCTGATCCCAGCATCCGTAACCTGGAGAATGTCCAGGCGGCACACCTGCTACAGAGAGGACCTGAGGGAGAGCAGGTGAGCTGAACACATCTGCACAATAGATGAGATTTCTATGATGTAGTCCTGTGTATTCAAACATGTGAGGGTTATCTGTAGATTGATATTTGTTTAATGGCTTCTGTTCTCCTACAGCTCAAGGTCTTGTTAAAGAGACGCAACACCTCTTCTCGGCGCCGTGTATTGTCCTTACAGGACCCAGAATGAGTTCCTCATTTGAATCTAACACATACTTCCTATGTTGGGAAGAGATGTTTTTGGGAGTACTTGGTCTTTTTTACCAAAAGCATAGACATTAATTCACATTGGATTAAACAAGTAGTGCCTTATATCACATTACTCAAGGGCTAGCAATATTTACATATTTATGTCATTTGTTTTTTATTTTATTTAAACACTGTGACTATATATTTGCAGGCGAGATCAGCCTGATTCACCTTTTATTTTTTCATCTTATATGAAGACTGTATGCATTAGACTTATAAAGCTTCTATTGAAGAGCTGCTTTTTGATGAAAGGCCACACTCCCACTTATTGTTGATTTCTGTGAAATCGTTAATTTGGGAACTATGTTCCTCAAACTCATTTGTTTTTGTCAAAATTCCATCTTCAGTCATAGTTTTGACTTGAGTCCAGGTTGGTGTGACTTGTTTCTGTATGTATCATACTTATAATATCAGATCAATTCATTGTCATTGAAAAACATAATTTACTGTGTAAAATGAGTCTGTTTTGAGTAAGTTGTGTGACACATGCTATAAAATGTACTTTTCTGTTATGAGTCATCTCATTAAACTCACCTTGAGTTCCATAATGCTTTGATGTGTGGATTATCATTTTAAACATGATGTCACATACCAAGTTGCCCATTTAAAAGAATAATTTATTTGACACATTTTCCCCACCCACACTTCGGACAAACAGCCACAGAGTGACTTCAGTTATTTTTGCAACGGTGTGTCACCTTCTGAAATTGTCTTTGATAAACCATATTTATTTCCTTCACAAAGCAATCTTCACTAGATACACACAAAACTAATTCAGCATGTAAATATACAATTGTATAATCACAGTTCAAAATAGTAATTCAAATTGAAAGAAAACTTTATTCTAGATTCTGTAATACATTTACAGTCTATAATATAGATTGAATTTAGAGTCTTTTTTAATTTAAAAAGAACAAACAAATGGCTAAATCTGCTGTAAGATACTACATGCTTTTTCCTACAGTTTCATTTGAAAACATCTTAAAATAAAAGTCATGCGCTTACACATCCATGACCTAAACATTACATTCAGCACACTAGTCCCTGATATAGAAGTGACTGAGCGAGAGCTGGTGTGGAAAAGCCATAGAAAATGTGTGTAGACTCCAGTGTTGACCCTGTAGAGACATCTGTGCAAGCTTTCAACTTTATACAGTCTGAGGTGGAACTGCAAAGAAAAACAATCGTAAAAACGGTTAGAATAGTATTTACTGTACCAATATATATCAAGCACGCATATGCCCACCTTCTGTCTTTGCACTTGGGATGCCAGATGAGCTGAAAATGTTAAACAAAAGAATGATTATTAAAAGCATGTATTAAAATTCTTTTGCATTCTGGGGGACCATGATGCATTTTTGTGTCTTCAAACAGCAGGTCAGTGTTTTGCCAGACAAGCGGCATGCAGTCAGCTTAAATACACATGAACTACCAACACAAAAAGAACAGATTCATTGATAATATTGGAGTCACCAAGTCCTTTATGTGTTGGAAGTTTGTTTTGGGGGGATTTTTGTAATACATTATAATTTGGGATTTTTAAACAAAATATTATTATATTATTTATGTGTTTAAGAGATTAAATGCATTTTCCACACTCAAAACTCTGCATGCAGCCAGTTTATCCATTTTGCCTTGCACATGTCTTACTTGGATGAGGGCCTTACACATTTTGTGATTTTTTTACCTGTTTGGAGAACAATGTAATATATTAACTTTTCAACATTTGCAACATTGTAAAAGACTGAATTTTCAACTTACTTAGAGCTATTAAAATGCCACTAACAAACATCACTATAGCGAGGATAAGTCCAGTGGTTCGTAATGTTTCATAATCTGTAATGGACAAAAAGTATTAGTATTATCAGTCAGCTTTCATTCATATATCTTGGAATAGAGCATTGACAACACTATATTCAAAACAATGGGTTGAATTGGTACAGTTCTATAAATATGTAACTGTGTAATATTTACATCAGTTGGTGTATGCTGATGTATTGCTTTGCCTGGAATGTTCCATGGTAAGACTTATCCATCTAGCATTTATTCATTATGGGTGTTTCTATAGCTCAGAAATACAATAATTCCCCCACTGAATAGGGCCGACTCTCCACAGATCTGAATTGTAATGTAGCGTATTGCTGTAACTTGCTTGTCTCCCTTGTGACATTCTACACAAAGCAATAACATTTTCATGAAGACATCAGGTGATGAAAATCTTCACTCTCCTCTCTCATGTTATGCAGTGCATCTTTAAACTTTTTTTATCTTTATTTTAAATTTTTTTTTTTTTTTTTTTTTTTTGCTCTTGAGTCTTCGCTCAAAAATACAAATATGCTGAAACAAACTTACCATAATCAAAGTCACTGCGGTCTGGAAACATGGATTCTGCAAAAATGACTGAAGCGTTAGACCACATGACTAAGCGTAGACTGCAAAAAGCTTTCAATTAGCAGAGTGGGCACTAGGCGTTGCAGCCCCTTAGCTCTGCAGTCTTGGCTCATAACTCCTCTCCTCTGTCTTTTCCCCAATGAGCAACTCGATGCAGCATCTTGGCTCAGCAGAATAACATGCACTGAGGTAAAGTGGGTTAAAACCATATCCCTATTCACAAGACCAATATTTAGGCAATATTACGTAATAAAAAAACATACACTTTAAGTTTTTGATTGTAAAATATTATTTTATATTAGTATTACCTGCAGCCAATTATCAATACTGCAGTTACATGTTGCTGACTTCTCTTATTTCACATGAGATAGCAGTATAAAGATCTGTCTCTGGAGTTTCCATATACACAACGTTAAATAAAAAAACTACAGGTTTTGAATTAGACATTTTTGAATAGTTAAAACTGTGCACTATACAGACATGTCACACATCTTTGTAGCAAAATCTGAAGCCCCCAATGCTACTCTGTAGCCTTTTACCAGATCTACATATTTTTGTTTCAGTTAAATTTACTATAGCATGAGTGGGACGCACCTGTAGTGGTCATAGCTGCACACTGGAGAGGATCAGGATCCTGGTCTTGAAGAAACTTAGCAGGTCGTTGGCCGCACTTGACGTACTGCAGTAAGAATGGAGAAAGACCCAAGCACTCCTACTGCTGCGGAGACCCTCAATGAACCCGGAAGGCTCCCTCTGGTGGTTGCTCTGAGATACTACAACAGTATCAAACATTTAGTGGATTTCTGCATTTTATTGACAAATTGAGTGAAGCTATTTGCTGCTATTGTTTTTCACCCTGACACTGATGCATATATATTAGAGTGCTCCCGTATCAATTATTTAAAAATAGTCTACTGGGTAAATTTGTATATTTAAAAGTATTGTGACATATTGCTTACACCATGCAATCGCAACGTCCCTGGTTTGAGTCCCAGATTGTGTGAGGCCTTTCAATGTGGAGTTTGCATGTTCTTACTGTGTCTAGTAGAATTTCCTTTAGGTACTCTTCCAATCAACCTAAAACATGCATAGTTGAATAATCCTCCATCTTGGTACTCGAGACCACAATCCTGTCTAGACATATAAAATGGAACCCTGTGATTGCCCATGACTTGTTAATCCCAAAAGCATTGAAAAATGGGCCAGAAGGAGGACAAAATTTAACAATGGGGGCAGTTAAGTATATAATTTAACTCATAGTAAATCCAGTGGGTGTCTTTGTTGCAGTTCATTTGGACTGGCAAATACTAAACAGCATATTATAATGTTGTTTAAAAATATTGTGTCATCTTTTTCCACTTAATTATTTTATGTTTTTCCAAAGCAAATGGTTTTGCCTTTAAAAAGATCTTTAAAAAATCTTCATAGAGAGAAGGTGGCTTTATAAACGTAAATTTTACTTGATTCATTTACTTTTTAAAAGTGCAAATACAAGTAGTGGAAGCATCATAAAGAGACAGTCATTGGGATGCTGGCTGATGCTGGCCTCGTACCTTCCAGTGAATGAAAATATACAAGCAGCAGACTGTAAGTAAGTGGGCAGTGTGCTGTGTCAGCAGGAGCAGTTGTGCACTATGACAGAGGGTCCAGCGCACTGCAATGAACCAGCTCCTCAAACAACAAGAGACAACAAAGAATTTAGGCTTTGGGACATTTTATTTAAATGTCACACAATCATATCTATCAATCAAAACACTACATAATACATCTATTTGGCTCTCTATTTAGGTACTACTGATCATATAAAAACATTAACATACAAACATAAGCAGTGTAATGTATAATAAAATCACATTCATGGAAAGAAATTGTCAGCTTCAATTGTTTCGATGAGCTAAAATCTGAAAGGCAAAAAGGCAAACAAAGATTATTATATCTTATATCTATGTAACAATATGACATGATTTATATGATATAATAGATTAAAAGCTCACCTCTAGAAAGCACTTCAACATACAGTATCTAAGCTGGAAAATACAGTTAGGAGCATTAATTGGGCTCTATTCAAATTTTTTTGTTAATTATAAAAGTGAAAATAAGGTTACCTCTACCACCCGATTCTGGGTCAACCCTGGGTCTGCACAGGAACAATACAAAAGGTATTACTGCAGAATTCTTAAGTAGTGCTTTTATCCAACATGTTTTTACTCAAGTTACCTGGGTTTGTCACTTTTTGAGCAGGTGCATTTCCGGCCTGTTGAAAACACAAAAAATATGTTATTTCATGTTAATGACAACATTTGATTATAATTAGTTTGTCAACAGTGTCAAAATTAGACACTAACTGATTGTAAAACTAGTATCAAAGCCTGATACTCATTTGAGCAGGTATCGATACTAGAAAAATCACATTCACAGGGCAGCAGTGAACCTTTCCTGAATAAATTTAGAATGATCTTAAGATGTATCAGAACATGTATAAGAGTACATAGGCTAATACATGCCCGTGGAGCATTATGGAATGTACCTGCATGACTGAGGGATTACACAGATATAACACAACATGGTAATATACAAGATTTAATGTTGAAAGTCACATTCTATTGTCTAAAGAAAGAAGTCTTTTTTTTTATTATCACTGTGGTACCAGAGTTGATATTGAATATGAAGCCTATTCCTTAGTATTGAAATCGAGTTAGAAATCGTATTATTGTGACAACACTAATTACAATTACCACTTACAAAATTGAATCCAACTCAGTTTCCTAACATAGGCAAAATGAGAAGTAGCTAATGGAGTGCTATGCAAAGCTGGTGCCAATAAGCCAACCTGAATAATCAGCCAGTCACGAGAAACTTATAATCCTTGCTTTCCTGGATTGTGTTCAAACTCACTCATGAAAGGCAACAGTGACATCAACTTCAAATAATAGCACTCTAAAACACAAGGGCCGTTATTATGAAACATTACTAGGAAAAAAATCAATACCAGAGTAATATTGCGGAACATAAACACTGCTTTCATGCTGACTGGACACGCATCACTAGAGGGCGCCAAAGAACATCTATTCCAATATTTACACATGTAATACTGGAACAACTATTACCTTTTTCTATTACATTTACACTATTGAGGATTATTTGCTGAATTTCTTTAATAATTACATGAGTTACCTTATTGTAAAATGCATCAGTCTAAAGGTGCACTATGTAACTTTTTAGTGAAGGTCCGTCAAAATGCTTTTCTCCATGGAAATGTTATTGCTTACCTTGAAATGTTTCACAGTATGGTATTAAACCATTCTATCATCATGGAGACCAAACCAGACCAAGTTACAGGCCAGGTAGCTAGATATTTTTGAGCTCTAAATCCACCTGTAATTAAATAATTGTAAGGTAGAGCTGTTTAATGTCATACTGTGGAATATTCCAGGCACCATCCACTCGAAAAGCTACACGATGCACCTTTAAGTATGTGCAAAATGAGCATTACATTTTTTTTTATTAGCTGTATTTAATAACTGATGAGATCTGTCACATTCAGGGAACCATAATTGCTATGTGTTGTCAGGTGCAAGGACGAGAAGGCATAAGAGGAGAAGTTATAAAAGGCGAATTGCGGCGATGCACAGAGCATGACAGTGTTGAGAAGTGAGCCACAGCAAGAAGCATCAATTTTCCACCCCTCAAAACATCAGAGTAGCACAGGGCCGCTTGTTGTGCAGTACTATATGAATCCAGGATGCGTGAAGTTGCTCAATCACAAGGTTGTATGTATAGTAACACTTAAACACAAGGAGAATCTACTTACTGACAATGAGAGCAATGCCCAAGACGAAGAGCACCACTGCAAAAACCAGGCCTCCAATCCTCAATGATTCATAGTCTGAAAGAAAAAATAAGCAGGAATGTAAAGCTACTTGATATGAGAAAAAATATCTGATTGACTTGGCTTGAGGGAGCTAGACAGTCCTGCCCACCTCTCAGGTTTGGAAAGTGAAAATCCCCTTATATATTTACCAGAGTTTTCTAAATAAATTAATCCAGAGTGTTTAAACGCTTACTGGGGGATAATCAGAAATGTGATATTTTGGAAAAGACAAAGTTACAAATCTTAATATTTGATGTTTTTAAAAAGTCTCTGAGGAAAATTCAAGGGAAATTTACTTACAGAACCCAAGTGGCCTTCAAGGTGGGGGAGACTCCTGAGCTCCAGATTAATTTATTATTATTCCACCTCCTCGGCCACCTCCTCACCTGGTCACTCACCCAAACTCTCCCCTGCTCGCCCTCCCCTGCCTTTCAACAGAGCTGTTATCACCAAGAGCTAGGACGCACAGGGCCTCTGCTGTCCCAGGACATACAGTCATGATAAAGGTAATATCAGGCTGGGGCCCTGCGATGGAGCTATATCTCCAGTTACAACACATAGACGGATTAAAAGAAGGACAGTTAGACTGTCTAATCAGAGAAATTTAGTTCACATTCCCTGTAAGAAGATAACATCCAGTCCTACTGAAACTAATCAGAAACTTGCTGTGCTCAATGTCAGATCTTTATGTAACAAATCATTTCTAATTCATGATTTCATTTCTTCTTTTAATCTTGACTTTATGTTTTTAACTGAAACATGGCTTGACAAAAACACAGGTCATGCAGTGCTAGTGGAATCAACCCCTCCCAACTTCAAATGTGAATCTGAAACACGAGCAAATAAAAAGGGTGGAGGAGTGTGTGCATTTTTTAGAGATCATTTGGTTACACACAGGTTGTCATTTGGGGTGTTTTCATCATTTGAGTATGTTTCCTTCAAAATGGAGCTAAAACAATCACCGTCCATACTCTACATCGTCATATACAAACCTCCTCAGCACTGTCAAAGTTTTATTGATGATTTTACTGAGATGCTTTCAGTTGTTTGCACAGACTTTGATGGTTTAGTCATTATAGGTGATTTTAATGTACATGTGGATAATGTGTGTGACAAAAATGCCAAAGAGCTTAGTGTTGTCCTTGAAACTTTTTAGGTCTGACTCAGCATGTCAGTGAGCCCACTCACAACAGAGGACACACTCTGGACCTGCTCATTACAAAGGGTGTAAATATTTCAAATGTCACTGTGGTTGATGTTGCTCTGTCTGATCATTTCTGTGTCTTCTTTGACCTGTCTGTTATTCCCAAACCACCGGCTGCTCCTACAGTTGTTCGAAGAAGACACATAAATGATAACACAGGTGCACTGTTCATGGAAATGATAAATTTTGAAATTGCCTCATGTTCTAATGTTGATGATGTGTTGAACTCTGTGACTTTGAGTGTTTTGAATGATCTGGATGCCATCGCCCTGATAAAGGTTAAAATGGTTAAAGATAGGCAAAAAGCTCCATGGAGGAATGATGACTCAGTCAGAGCACAGAAAAGGGAGTGCCGGAAGGCTGAGCGGAAATGGCGCAAGTCAAACCTCCAGGTTCATTATGAGATTTACAGAAGAAAATGCATATGTACAACTACACTTTGAGTAAAACAAGAGAGAAGTATTTTTCGGACATTATTGGTAATTGCAGTAACAACTCTCGTGTCCTGTTTGCAACAGTGAACAGATTAACAAACCCTCCAGCTCCACTGCCACTAGAACTAATTTCCACATCTAAATGTAATGAGTTTGCAGTTTTCTTTAATGACAAAGTTCAGGGCATCAAAAATGCCATCAATTCCACAACACAAATAACAAGCATGCAGCCACAGAGACACTTAGAGCTGAATCACTTTGCACCTGTAACTGACAAAACTGTTTTAGAGATCGTTACCAGTCTGAGTTCATCTACTTGCTGCCTGGACATGTTACCCACTAGATTTCTAAAGTCTGTCCTCAACAGTTTACTTTCACCACTCACTCACATAGTTAACATGTCACTTCAATCTGGAACATTCCCAAACGCGTTGAAAACTGCGGTCATTAAGCCTCTCCTAAAGAAGAGCAGTCTTGATGCCACAGTACTGAACAATTTCAGACCCATCTCAAATCTGCCGTTTTTTGGTAAAGTCCTTGAAAAAGCTGTTTACCAACAGCTTACGAACTTTCTCCAAATGAACAACTGCTTTGATGTTTTCCAGTCAGGTTTTAGAGCCCACCACAGCACTGAGACTGCTCTTATCAAGGTGACAAATGACATCCGCCTGAACACTGATGCAGGCAAAGTCTCAGTCTTGATCCTGTTAGATCTGAGTGCTGCTTTTGACACTGTCGATCATGGGATCCTCTTACAGAGACTAGAGGACTGGGTGGGCATCTCTGGTACTGTGCTAAACTGGTTCAAGTCCTATCTAGAAGACAGGAAGTATTTTGTAGAAATTGGAAACTATGTCTCAGATCACATGGCCCTGACCTGTGGGTGCCTCAGGGGTCAATCCTGGGCCCCCTGTTGTTCAATCTCTACATGCTGCCATTAGGTCAGTTAATAAGCAGCAATAACGTGTCCTACCACAATTACGCAGATGATACTCAGATCTACGTCTCTCTGGCAGCAGGAGACTATGGACCAGTGGACTCACTTGGTCACTGCATCCAACAGATCAGTGTGTGGATGCAAAACAACTTCCTCCAGCTAAACTCTGACAAGACTGAAGTCATAGTGTTTGGTCCACAGAAACAAAGGGACAGTGTCAGCAGTCACCTCCAGTCTCTCTCTCTAAAACCTTCAAATCAGGCAAGAAATCTAGGGGTAATAATGGACTCAGACTTGAACTTTAACAGCCACATCAAATCAATAACATCTGCAGCCTTTTACCATCTAAAAAACATAGCAAAAATCAAAGGTTTACTGTCTAAAACTTGGAGAAACTTATCAATGCGTTTGTCTCCAGTAGGTTACACTACTGTAATGGTCTGCTCACTGGTCTCTCCAAACGAGCTGTGAGACGCTGCAGAACATCCAGAACGCTGCAGCTCGGGTCCTTACTCGAACTAGGAAGTACGAGCACATAAGTCCTGTGCTCAGGTCTCTGCACTGGCTTCCTGTGCTTCAGAGAATAGACTTTAAAGCAGCTCTGCTTGTGTACAAGTCTCTCCATGGCCGAGCACCATAGTCCATCTGTGACATGTTAGTGTCATATGAACCATCTCACACTCTGAGGAGCTCAGGGACCGGCCTCCTGCTGGTGCCCAGAGTCAGGACTAAACAAGGGGAGTCAACGTTTCAGGTTCATGCAGCCAAAACCTGGAACAGTCTTCCTGAACATGTGAGACAGACTCTTCTGTGACGCTGTTTAAATCCAGGCTCAAAACATTTCTGTTTAACTGTGCATATAACTGAAAGGTTTTCATTCCGCACTCTTCTCTCCAATTTATGTCTCTCTTTTTTTAATTTTAATCTTCATGATTATTTATGTTTTGATTTGTTTTTATTAGGATTTTAATGTATTTCTTATTCTGTAAAGCACTTTGAATTACTTTGTGTACGAATTGTGCTATACAAATAAACTTGCCTAATTTATGGAATAAAATATGATTACAGATGTCAGAATGAGATATTTTAAAACGGCTCGACTTTTGTGATGGAGGGTCTGTCATCTGCTTGCCTTCACAGACATGTTATTGCGTTCTATCTCACGGAAGATAACTATAGGCTACACTACAAGTCAGACCTGTGGAGAGGCAACCCTATTCAGAGAGAGAATGATTACATTTTTGAGCAACAGAAAAATAGCCAGCCTTGCGCCACCTAGTGCCTCCGCTCAATTTCATTCCTCTCCAGTGACTAGGTCAGGAATCGGAATACACTAGATGGTTTGCAAGAATCTCAGAAGTGCAACCACCAGCCAATCAGCGAAGAGCCATACGATTCCAGAGATGGAGGATTTAAAGCCGGAACAAAGAGAATGTTTCCAGGATTTCGGAAAAGCTTAATATACCAGTTTGCCCCATTAGCGGCGCATTACATACGTCACAACCAAATAACAACGACTGGTTAAATAAAAAAAGTTCCCACCTACCGTCAAGCGAACGAATTCTAATACTGCAAGGCCAGAAGGTTTCCACGAAGTAAAACCAGCTGATGAATCAGGCTAATAGAAACACCCTTAGTGAATGAATGCTAGATAGATGTGTTTAATATTATACCATGAACATTCCAGGCAAACAATAACATCTCCATGGAGACAAGTAGGTAACCGACCCTCTACAGAAAAGCTCAATGAACCTTTAAGTAAGATTTTGGGAGGTTGGTCACGTATTACACAAATATTTGATTTGACAAAATGAGAACGCTTATAAATGAGTGATATACTAAGAAAGGCAATCCACAGCAATAATAATTAGTATAATCTATAGTGATGTGATGTCTCAATTTGAACTTTAATTGGCAAGTTTTACCACAATGTAGCACGTTTCTCTATTTCTTATAAAGGGACCATGTCTGTGCAGCACTTACCATAATTAAATGCACTGTCTGTCAAAAGAGAGGAGAGAGAGAGAACAAATGAGCAACAGATTTAGCCATTGACACACTTCACAGCCGAATGAGACCAGAGTCATTCATCTAGTCATTAAGCGGTTTGGTGCAGGCGCCAATTTATATGCTAGTTAAAATGCGAACGCAGCTTATCTTAATTGCACTTTTCTACATTTCCATCCTAATAATACGTACCATTGTCCTCGTCAGCTGCCGAAACTGTGGGACAAAAAGAAAACCATTAGTCTGTGCAAAAGTCACCAGGTAATATAGGAGCAAGTCAGCAAATTAGGCGTACTCAATTAAAGGTATATTTACTGAAGCTACATACAAAACTGGTCTTACAATAGAACAACTTTCTGTAAAGAAGGTGCACTATGTAACTGTATGTAGTGGAGGATCCATCACTTTTTTGTCTCTACTGAGATCTTCCACAGTATAGCATTAAACAGATCTATCTTGCAATTATACAATCACAGGTGTGATTTTGAGCAGGGTTGACTCTCCACAGATACTTGATGGCATCACTTTCTTGTCACTGTGGCCTTTTTTTGGCTTTTTATATCACATTAACATCCAGAAAGTTTGATTTCATAAAGCCTGAGATATAATTATGTTAGCCTGGGAATAAATTAAAACTAATGGCTTGGTCATGGTGTCAATAATTGTGAAAATATTGTCAGAAGAAACAAAAATTTGACACTGTGAAATCCCTAATCCATAATCCGCGTTATCGCATTATGATAATCAAAACACATGTAGTACGGTAGCTAAAATAGCCCACTGATGGATGCCCCAGATATGTTGAGCTGGTGAGACGTGATTCGTGTCTTGCCTCATGACTTGAACTCATGACTCCTCTTTGACCTCAGAGATGTCCCAATGAACTGTAGGTCTACGGGTTTGTATTCAGGGTCATTACTATCCTCATATTACAAACTGCAAACCAATAGACAATGTGCAGCTTCTTGACAGGGTTGGAGTTTTCCTGTTTCTACAAGGTCTACCACTGACTTTCCTCCATTAAGATATTGCTTTGACAAGAAATGTTCCACAGTATGACATTAAATATACATATCTCTGTGGTGACAAGCAGGTGACACCAGGCCAATGTACAGGTCAGATCCTTGAAGACGCAAGCCTGGTGAGAGTAGGAATACATGATTTTGATGGTATTTCTAGTGGTAATAAATGCATCTGTAGTTAAATAAATGCAAGATAGATCTGGTTAATGTCATACAGTGGAACATTTCTTTAAGATAGCAGCTTTCACTTAATGTAAGGATATGTAATTAAAACTGCACCAGAGTGTACTTGTTGGATAGAAAGAGAGACAATCAAATAAATACTGGAGTGATTATATTTATAAGTACTGGACAAAGTTATACATAAGAAAACATCTGCTCTGCAAAGGGCCTGTGAAAGTTCATTTCTGACAGCAGCAGGATACAGTCATGTAGTTTACAGAAGCACCCTTTGACCTGACTGCTAAGTAGATACACTAATGTTATTCTGCTCTCTGTAAGGACTAACGTGACATGTTTGCCAAAATGACAGGATCTGGAAAATAATTCTCAGCTAAAAATATCCTTTTTGAGAATCTGTTTAACATCATGACCTGCAGAATGCATAAAGATTAACACTTGAACTTAACTATTTAAACTTGCCAACTATATGACTAAAATTTTGTTAAAATGCGAACATTTTTTGACACTCCATAGCCCAGCCTTCAGATGTTAAAATGCAAATATTAATGCATGATAACTTATGCTTGACATGAGGACCAGGCATGTTCGGCTGCGTGCTGGGAAAGGGAGAGCTGGCAGGCAGCCATTTAGCGGCACACAGGAAATGAAGGATTTGAAACAGGAGGTTAAAAACGTCAGCACATGGCCATGCATGCACAGCCTAATGCAGACGACTTACCAAACATCTCCCTGCCAAACGCCGACCCTGTTATACAAATACCCCATTTAACCAAGTAAGACTAGTACAACCCAGAGAGAACGCTTCATCTACATTTTGATGTTACTTTTCACCTCTTAATGAAAAGAAATTGATACCCACCAAAAGCAGGAGCTGCCCAAGCGCTTATCATCAACAACACAAGCTCCATTGTACCTGGGAACAGAAGATTCTTTGTTAAAAGGGGCACACAAAGTTAGTGAAGGTTACTTGATTGTACGTGTCAAGATAAATATGAATAACTGGAAAGACTGATGTAAAAAAAAGTTATATTAGTCTCCCCTAAAATTAATTTTGCAGAATGAACCCAAAAAAGGCTGATAATTGTAGTTTATGTGTGTGAATCATGTAATATCTGGAGGGATACACATTGAATTTGTTATATGAATGGTAGCCTAATATGACCAGCCCAGACTTTGTGTAAGAGGGGGCATCTATTTCAAGCGCTGCAAAAAGGGGGTTGGCAGTAGTGGGGTTCACATTGAAGCTGGTGTTAAGTTGCAATGACTTAGGTTAGAGGGTCTAAGTGTTGTTTGCTGTCTCATCTGGTCTACATATGGAGCACAGGTGGTGGGACTAGATGTTACCAAATGGAGTTGAAGTCTTGGTAGTGAGCTCAAGGCATAACCAAAAAGTGCCTGTTCAATTGTCTCTTCCCTTTCTCTCCTGTTTAAAGCTAATGCACTCACAGTAGTTTTATGACTCAGATAAAATTGTCAACAATGTGCAATCCCAAAAGATCTAAGCTACTTAAGTGTTTTGCATGGGATACATCAAAGCAGATTTTTGGAGAGCCAAGGTTTTCCTGTTTTGCTCGGGGCAGAAACCAAGATTTGTGCATGGGAAGAAGTGGGGGTGTGGATCAAATCTACATAGAAACCCTAGGAGCAGGATTAGCAACAAAGGCCTGTCAGTCAGTTTCAAACTAATACATAATGAACGATATAGGAACAAGAAGTGATCTAATAATAGTGTTTGTTAGAAGGCTGACAGATGCAGGCAATGATGATCTAAGAAGTAAAGCCAGTAAAGGCGTTAGAAAGTCGAGTGAACCCACAGGCAAAGGTGGGGTGCACTGAAATAAATTATCTCTATGCTACTAGAAAACAGAGGAGTTTGAGAGATAGAAGAGAAACACGTGACCTGGCGTTAAAAGAGGAAATAATAAAAATGGGTCACACACTGAAGTAAAAAAATAAAAAATAAAATAGTACTAAAAATGCAAAGGATACATTTGATTATTGGATTTTTTTCTTGCCGTGGAGAAAAACTGCAGAATGAAAAACAGCCTTAAGCGTAAATACCGTGTAGGCTGTGAAGTTAACTCGCAAATGCAAAATCGCCAGAATACAGCAAAAGTTAAAGAAAAGTTCAACGAAGCTGTGACCATGCGTAAGAGCGCAATTCAACTCGCTCATGCTTTCTACAGATGTAAAAAAAAAATGTGTAAAGAAAGTCTACACTATAGGCTAGATACTCTACAGTTTTTTTAATTAAATTGTCAACAGTTTATTAAATTTTTGAGGAAGGTATGAACAAATGGTAAAACTTGCAAGCTACTCACAGTTGCAGCTTCTTCAATTTATGGAAAGTTTTCACTCCGCCCAGACGCACGAAGCCTCTGGAACACTTTATTTCACTTTGGCAAGATAGTGAAAGTTGCCCTCACAATTACTGTACAAATAACTATTTTATTGTCTGTTGCGCTCAGCTGGGATTCCTCAGGACTGTGCTACTAACTGCAGTCTGCCGCTTCTTCTTCCAACTTCTTGTGGACTCTTAGGAATGAGGGTGGGGGGTGGGGTGTCGGTTTGGGTTGTCAGCCTCTGAGGTTACTCCAGAAAAACACCAGCGTTAGATATAAACAACCCAGTCTGAACTTACTATTCACCACAATGTATATACAGCTTTAGATATAAGGGTAATTCAATGCTGCTTAGCCTGCTTTGACGTTTAAATATCACTTCTTATAAATCAAATCTAAGGAATGTAGCAGTGAGGTTGTTGAAAGCAATGGTAACAAACACTTTCATGGCCAGCCTCTTCTCAGTGAGCTACTGAACTACTTCTCAAGGTCTCACCACACTAAAGTGACAAATTCCCCACTTTGCAACGTAGCATGTGAAAAATCCAAAGATACTACTGAAGTTTGGATAATAATAAAATAAAATAATAATAAAACAATAACAAGACATAAATGTAAGATGTACTTTATTAGCCAGCAAAAGAAAAATGTAAAACATGTATATAGATAGACTGATAAGGACGGACTGGTCCGCCAAGAATGTGGTTAATACTTCCCCTCACCACAAGATGGAGCTGTTGGTCCAAAATAAGCCAGGAGAAACAGTATAATATACCCATAACAAAAGTGAATGAAGATAGTAGGCTGCATGGATGTAAAGTTTTCCCATAGCGTTTTTTTTTTTTTCCCTTCTAATATGGCTCTTTACCCTGTTTAAAAGAGAGAGGGTATGTCATGAGTTAAGATTAACAATCACTGATCAATATGCATAAGAATGGTTTTACCTCAGAACTAAATATTTTCATTATGTGCAGGTTGGGCACTGTATAAAAAATAAAAAAATAAACAAAATTAATAAATCCAATTACTCAGTCACAAAACTACTACCCTAATATATATATATATATAATTTTTTTTTTAAAACTTTGAATACTTTTTCTTGCTTAAATTAGATTGGGACCAACGTAGAAGGCATTACTGAATTGTCCAACAGTGGAAGAAGTGTTTAAATATAAATCAGCAGTGCATTAATTTTTCATTGTAAAGACTATTCTTGGAATTCAGCTTCTTGTTTATAAGAGCACTTTTGACTATTCAAGACAGGATATTTGTTTAGTTTGAATTGCTATGGCAACAGTCCCACATTTCCACCACACTGAAACCCATGCATGCACATAGTACAGACAAAAGAACATGCTCTGCTTTTTTACTACAATAGCCATGTCTTAAAATGGCCAGCTCAGCCCTCAGGGGGGTGGTCATGCAGCTGAAACACAGAACTAAAGACAGGGGCTCAAATTAATATAGCACCCAGAAGAGTCTTAAGTGTCCTTGGATGACAAGCAGTGATTGGATTGCAAGCTTGGTAGCGTTTGATGGCCATGCTTGTCAGCGTCACCTGCTTTTTAATCAGTAATTACCACGGGGGATTCTTTGGCATTTCTTAATTAAATTGGACCAAATGCAATTAAAAGCCACACTCTCATTCCTGTTTGGTTCCTGCTTTTATAAGAAAACTTGGTTGAATGGCCCAATCACAGGACTATCTGTTCTTGATTAGTTCAGGGGTCACACCAAGTCATGTTAGGGTCAAAAAGTTTGACAAAAATTTAAGATCAAAAGTTGAGTATGTACTTTTTAGAAATCTTACCAGCTTGAAAAATCGCCCGCACGCCAGGAGCTCATGACCGCAGACACATCCGAAACGATTTTTCCATCTGCCGTTGTCATGTCATCTTTGGAGTTGTGATTGTAGTTACCACAGGCGCCGCACATTTTATAAGAGAGGCTGGTGTCCACAATTACAGTGACCTCCTGTGGGATGGAGTATGTGACCCGAACAGCCGACGCCCTCTCGATAACAACATTCCGGTCTGAGATGTGCACGGAGATATCACAGCCCACTTTTAGAGGAAGAGACACTTTCCTGCCGTTTAGCTGAAGATCAAAGAGAAAGGAGTAGGAAACCCATTAAAGTGAAAACTAAAACACATAATGTTCCTGAAACTAAATTATGTGCCTTGACATGGGGAAGGGTATCGAAAGCTCACCAGGGCATTATTGCAATATTGCCCTATAATTATTGCAATTATGTCAGTATAATAGGAGTATAGGGAATCAGCTGCCTCTTTTATAAAAATTCTTTGCTGATCATTTTGTTACTATTTGCAATTAAACCTATAGTATTTGCAACTTGAAATGAATACAAAACTTCATATTTCTTTTTGCAGAGGGGGGTGCTGGATTCGTGGCATGGTTATTTTGGGGGTCCTGACTTGGAAAGTTTGCGAACCCCTGTATTTCAAAGTTGTTATAATAGTAATTTTTCTCACCCAGGTCTCATGTTTTCTATTCACTGCAATAGAGGCATTAGCGAAGAAGACATAAACTGTGTCCACAGAATGAATGCCCATCTTGCAGTTCCAAACGTCCACCACCACCCTGAACCAGAACGGTGAACTGACGTCACACAAAGAGGCCACCTCGAAGGCCCCCAGAACATCCATGGGTCCAGTCATGCCGTCAAACGAGGAGAGGTCACCGGTCCGGTCTATGGTACACTGGCCTTGTTTCATATGGCAGTCTCGGACACCGTTTCGAACTTCACAAACTTTGCTGCTGTCACAGGTCAGGCTTTCACATCTCATTGTCCCAGATGTCTGGCATTCACATTTGGACTTACAGTGTCGATCCACCACTGTTTCACCAATCTGAAAATAAACGTGTGGAAGTTAGAGGTGGTGTCGTTTTGCAGGTATGAAGAAAAAAAAAAAATGCTTGGAATAACATTTAAAAAGCAGCAGTCAAAGCAAAGAGTTGATAATAAAAACACGCTTTGTAATCTTCCAAACAAGGTTATAAGGTGATTTTTGTTGCAACTTGGTGTTTAATTATACAGTCATTTCTCCTCTTCTGTCTATTTCAAACTCAACCATAACACTTGGAGCATTAGCACATTTCTGGTAGATTTGACTATCCTTATTACAATGAAAAAAAAAAGCCAAGATAATACGTTTGTCATATATGTCCATCCCTAGTGTGAATGCATTATTGTTTCATCCCACAGGTGTAATCACAATGTTACCATTAGATATCTGCCGTTGTGTTCACATCCACAGTTCTCCATGGAAACACACTGAATCCCATCAAAAACAAAGCCATGGTCACACTGGCAGCCTTCAAAGCAGGCCTTTGAACAGGAGACTGGGTGCATTAGATTAGCACAGTTAAATCCACACGTGTCAGCACACAGCTCATAGTGACTGTTCTCTGGGCACAAACCAGCTGTAAAAAAAATTAAGTAGTTAAAAATATGTATTTAAAAATGTCATGTACTTAAAGAGTGTAACAGGTTTTCAAGGTTTGCTAATTATTTTGTGTGCTGGGATAGGGCCTGTGGTAAATATTTATCTTACACAAATACAGGTAGTGGTGGTGAGTCCTGAAACTAAAACCTAAAATGTTATCAGATTTGATCCCATATACAGGAATAATATAGCTGTAAGGAAGACAGCAGTTAAAACCTTCATTTAGCAAAATAAACCAAGTTTGGGCCCTTGTTAACATTATGGTTGCTTGTTTAACAGTTTTGTAATTGCCTCACATCTGCTGTCCGTGTCCAAACCAAGAAGTAAAATTACAAACGTCACCAAAATTTAAAAAAACTAAGAAAGGTATTTAGTCAAAATAAAATGTTTAGTATAATAATGACTATATTTTAATGAAATTAGTAGTTTAACCTGCCATATGCACTTTAAATGTGTGTTTGTTTCTTACGGCAGAAGGAGTCTGTTCTCCATGACTGGATTTGGACCCCAGCACTCTGACAGGCCAGGGCGTATGCCAGGACACTGTTGCACAGAGTACCCTTGTTGCCATCCATCGCACAGACATCAAAGACACAGTGAGAGACGTAAGTCGCTGGATCAATTTTGCTGTGGCAGGCTTTAAAAGGCCCATTAGGCGCACTTATGATACCACAGGAGTTTGGCTTTCCAAATAAAACTGCTTTGGCCTCATCACAGACTGGACACTGACTACCACACCCTCCACACAGGAATCCAGGAAGATCCACCACCCAAGACTTCCCAAATTCATCGACATCATTGTTCACTCTGCCACCTGGGAGCATGAAGTCATCTTTGGAGTTTTTGTTGTAGTTGCCACAAAGCCCACACATCTTTCCCATGTATGTAGAGGGCACAATGACTTCAACATAATAGACTGTGTCATAGAGAACGGTCAACCCAAAGTCAGTTCTAACGATAATGTTACTGCCTTCTTGAGTGATTTGTATACGGCCATCATTTAAGGACAGGGGCAGGTTGATAAGTTCATCATCCACCTAAACAAAAAAACATTACGGACTGTTAAAACGTGCATTATGTTGGGGGATTCACCACCTGTCTCACAGAACAGTTATCACTTTGCCTGGAATGCTTCAGTGTGACATTAAATATGTAGCTTTTTTAACTATGCAAGTTTTTACTACTCAAAAAATGTCTTGAAAAACATGCATGTGTGGTGAATGGAGCTGCCTCTCCAAAGATGTGATCTGGTAGTGTCACAGGTCTGTCTCCTTATAAAGGTTAATGCCATAATGTGGAACATTTCAGGTAAAGCAATAACATCCCCATGGAGTGTGACAGATAAGACAGAAAAGTTACATAGTGCACCACTGAAAACTAAGATGAACTTACAATAACTTTCCATGAGACTCCCTGTTGAATGTAGATGACAAAACCATAGACTGACACTGCGACCGACTTTGTCACAGCCACGTTTCTATTCCCATACTTCTCATTTCCTTGGGTTACAGTGAATGGCGTCAGCTGGCCTTTGTCATCATCACAAACCTTGGCCAGAACATAAACGCAGGTACCCTGAAAATCAAACCTGTGCCCATCAAAGGAAATGTAATGTGGGTCACCAGAAGCCACACACGTGGCCTGGCCCTCAGGGTGGCAGCCTTTCACACCATTCACCAGTCTACAGACTTCACCAGGGTGGCATTTGGCTTTTTCACATGAAACTGCTCCGTTGTCTCCACAGGAGCACCTCTCCACACACTCGTTCTCTGGGTAGAAGACGTCCCCTTTCCTGTAATAGTGTCCATCATAGGAGCAGCCACAGTCTTTAACAGGCACACACACATCCCCACTCCGCAGGAAGCCCTCATCACATTCACACGTTTCTGTACAGGGCCTGTTGCAGTTCATAGAGGTTAAGCTGGCACAGGTGGCTGGGCAGCCCGTGGCACAGAGGGTGTAATGGCTATTAGCAGGGCACTGCATCGCTATGGGACAAGAACAAAGAAGAAAGTTTGAGCAACAAGCAGAAAACTATATTTTTGAGCCGTAACACTGACGCTAAAGTTGAACTATACGTACGACAGAAAGTCTCTGTTCTCCAAGAGCGGACAGCTACTCCAGAGCGTTGACAGGCAAAGACATATGCACTTATAGCATCACATAGTGTGCCATGGTGCCCATTATAATGACAGGCATCAAACACGCAGTCTTCCAGATACGGGACAGGATCAACCCGATTGTGACACTCTTTGAAAGGGCCCGCTTTGTCTGTAATAATGCCACAGTATTTCTGTGCTCTATACACTTCTCTCTGGGAGTCTGTACAAGCGTGGCACCATGGCCCCTGGCAGACTGATGAACAGCCTGGAACAAGGGCCACCTGCCAGCTTTCGCCCAGCTTGACTCCATCAGCAGCAGCCTGGCCATCGCGCATGGTCAGATCATCCTCTGCTCGTCCATTGTAGTTGCCGCACAGACCGCACACGGCGCCCTGGTAGTTGCCGGGCAGAGTCACAGAGACAGTGCTGAGCCAGTCAAAGGTCAGAGTGATGCCCGCAGCGGTCTCCACCACGGCTGTGCGGCCACTGTGAAACACCAGCAGATCATCACTGTACTCCAGGGGCAGAGACTCGAGCTGTCCATTAAGCTGTGGAGAACACAAAGTGCGAATATGTTTTATGGAGATTATAGATTCCATAATTATACAGCTTTCGCTAATCCATTCTAATATGCAGCTATGTCTCAGTTTAATTAAGTCTGTGTGGATGGAAAATTAATATGGAATCTAACATGTGTGCAAATGACAAATTTATACTATTAAATTCTGCTTTTATTCATGAATTTCAAAGAGTATGTGTCCTGGTTTTATCTTTATCCCTTTAACTAATACAGTGTCCTAATTTCTCCTCTTTAAAATGTCTGTCTGGTTCCAGTCTAGAGCCAGATTACACATATCTGCACTCACCAGGATTTTGTTGGGGTAGTCTCTGCTGATGGTGAGAGTGGTGCCATAAATACTTAGGGTGACAGTTTTGGTGAAGGACACTGCCTTGTTGTTCCCCCTGTGTTCATTCTCTACAGTCACTTTAAATGGCACCAGACCAGGCTTCTCAGAGCACAGAGCTACCAGCTGATACACACATGTACCCTGGAAATCAAATCTGCGACCATCAAAAGTGCGGTAGTGGGGGTCCCCTGAGGCTGTGCATGTGGCGTGGCTGGTGGGCCGACAGGCACGGACCCCGTCCACAACTGTGCACTTCTCATTGGCAGCACAGGATGCCTCTTTGCATATCACCATCCCCAGAGTTGTATCACACTCACAGAGGCGCCCACAAGCCTGGCCCTCCCAAAACCGTTGGCCGGGTTTGTAGTAGCGACCCTGATATGAGCAGCCGCAGGTTTTAGCAGGCACACAGACCCCAGCACTCAGAACGTAGCCCTTATCACACACGCATGTCTCTAAACAAGCGCCAATGCATTTCTCCTGTTGTTCTGGGAAGGGGCATGATGGCTGGCACGGGCTGGCACATTCTTCAAAGTGGCTGTGGCGCTGACAGTTCATTGCTGTAAAAAAAAAAAAAGTTACAAAAATATATATTTAAAAAAAATATTTACTAAAATGTGATACTGCACCGTTTTTATATAAGAATTTGTTTGTTTTTTTACTGTTATCAGAAAAGAGATCTGACCAAGATGAAGATTTTCTAAACTATCCATGAAAGGATAACTTTATATTATTTTCAGTATCAATACCTGTTCAAATGAGTATCTAGTATTATACTTATTTTAATAACAGCCAGTATTCGAGTCTATTTTAAACCGTGCTGATTTAGAGACATCTTTTCAAGCTAATAATACAACATAATTTAATATCCGAAGTGTGTTTTTGTCTTATATAAAAGAATACATGTCACTTTTATATTAGAGTTCAGCTTTCAAGTTCAGTTAAATGTTTATTGGTCTAGTATGTGCTGTGTAGTGTTATTGTTTTGGTTAAAATTCAATAAAAACTGACAACATAACTGTCAAAGCGTGTTAGCTGAAAATACTCACGACAGCCAAACTTCTGCCTCCAGCCTTTGATAATGACTCCCTCCTCACGACAACGCTGACTGTAGGAGGCCATAGCCTGACAGAGCAGCTTCTTGTCTCCTTTGTTGAAACACATGTCATACACACAGCTGTTCATGAAGGCACCTGGGTCCACTACATCATGACACTTCTGAAACACATTCTCAGTTCTGGAGGTGAGAGCTCCACACAAGGCTTCAGTCTCATACAGCTTACGTTGGTCGCCATCACAAGTTGGACAGTTATGGTCACAAGTGTCCCAGCATGGAGTGTCTTGCTCAGGGGTTTGCCAGCTTTTGCCCCACTCGATGATAGAGGGCACAGATTTGCCGGCTGGATTTCGAAGCTCATCGCGGGCGTTGCCATTAAAGTTGCCACACAGACCACAGACCAGGTTGTAGTATGAACTTGGAAGCCTGATCACAAGCTCCCAGTTCCAGTCATAGGTGACAATGAGGCCGAAGTCAGTCTTGATTTTGATCCAATGTCCCATTTGAACAAGAGACACCACTTTGCCCTCCACATCCAAAACCAAGGGCAAATTTAGAAGCTCTCCATCCACCTGTAAAAACAGTTTAATACATAAAGCAGTACATTTAAGTCTTGCTGAATTATGTCAGGGGGTTGAATCTTACAGTGACTTTGCCAACTTGGTTCTTCCCAACATTGATCCTATATCCATACACAGACAATTCCACATCTCTGACATAGGAAACTGCTCTGTTTCCTCTGTTGTCATTTTTCTCTGTGATTGAGAAGGGCACTAGACCATCCAAGTCCCCACATGTCTTTGAGATGACATATCTGCAGGTGCCTTGGAAGTCAAAGTTATAGTTATCAAAGGTGTGATAGTGTGGATCACCCCAGGCCCAGCAGATGCCAGTGTACTCAGGCACACACACAGCTTCACCCTTTTCAACTAGGCACTTTTCTTTAACCCGGCACTTTACATTTTTGCAGGGATCTACAACAAAGAGAGGTACTTGTAAGTCCACTTATCCCCTGTTTCTCCATGTGTGTAAGAGTAGACCTTGCCTGTGTAGTAGCATCCCTGAATGCCTTCCTTCACTGTGCATTTGGTGCCTTGAGGACATGAGTGGTTTTCACAAACCAAACCTTTAGCTGGATTACACATACACTTTCTTGTACAGTCTTCATTGTAAACAAGTTCACCCGGCTAAGGGCAAAAATAAATGTTAAGCAATAACATTACTGATAATTTTCTATAAATGTATTCATTTTTGAAAAGTGTACCTTGTAGGTTTTTCCCTGGTCGTAGCAGCCACACTCGGTCTCTTTGACACATGTTTGTCCATTAAACAGGAAACCTGTGTCACATTGACAGCCCTCTGCACAGCTGGTGGGACACTGCACTATTTCTGTGAGGCCAGAACAGGCTGTAGAGCAGGAGTGTGCACACATCTCATAGTGGCTGTTAGCCGGGCACTTCATAGCTAAAAATATAAGACATTGTTATACATTATAAAAGAATTTAAACTGACCTCAAACTGTTTAAAACATATAGCACTAAGTTAATAAACTAAGTAAAACAGACAGCACTTACGACAGAAGGAAGGGGACCTCCAGTTTTTCACATCCACTCCTGCCATGTGACAGTTAAAGGTGTAGGCAGCTACACTGTCACAGAGCACCTTTCCTTCTCCATTAGACACACACACATCAAAGACACAGTCATCAAAGTATGGCTGTGGGTCCAGTTTACTGTGGCACTCAGCAAAAGGACCTTTGGGGTCTGTGATTATGCCACAGTAGGTGGGCTTGGAGAACACAGCCTTACGAGCGCTGTCACAGTTGGGACAGGTGTCTCCTTCACAGCCATTTGAACACACAACATTTGGAATAGTGACTTTCCATGATAGCCCAAAGTTGTTGATATTGTTAGTGAGTTGTTTGTTAGGCATCTGAAAGTCATCTTTGGGATCACCGTTGAAGTTGCCACACAGGCCACAGACCTTATTGCGGTAATTGCCAGGCACTGTCACAATAACATGATAGATGAGGTCATAGGTGACTCGCAGCCCGAAATCTGTCTCAATCACATAATGAGTCCCCTCCTGGTAGATCAGTACTGCACCCTCCATTATATTTAATGGAAGATAGTGGAAGATTTCATTCACCTAAAAAGAGGAACAAAAAATTACAGTTACAATGCAGAATATGACAAATGTAACGTATTATATGACCTTTAATTTTTTTTTTTTTCTATAGGTCAAAACATTTCACTGGTTACAAGGATGTGGCTTATCCTTAACACCAAAATGATCCCAGATAAATATTTGCAATGTAAACAACCCATTCACAGGAATCCATTGAAAATTTTTACTTACCAGAACTCCAAACATGTTTTTTCTCATGATGAACGTTGTGTTATAAACTCTCACAGCCACAAGCTTTGTGACGGACACTCTCCTGTTATTGTTCCACTCCACATTCTCCACCTGGATGGAGAAGGGCGTGAGGTGAGTGCCCTCCAGGCCACAGCTCTGGGACAGGGTGTAGGTGCAGGTTCCTTGGAAGTCAAATTTCCTTCCATCAAAAGAGGAGTAATGGGGATCACCAGAGGCATGGCACACTCCTTTCCCAACTGGGTGACACTTTTGGACTCCATTCTCTATTGCACACTTTTCATTAGGACCACAAGAGAACTTTTTACATTCAACCTAAGGAAAAAGAGATAATGTTTAGTTTGTTAAAAATTGAGTTGTAAAATGTATTAAAAACAGAAAAAAATGTGTAAGGTCTATCATTAAGTACAAATATTTATGCATTATTTAAATTATTCTATGTCCGAGATTTTTATTTAGCTTTCCTTCACAAACTGCTCAAAGGAAAATTCACAAATGTTGAACCTGAAGATTTCTCTAAGTGACTACATCCTAGAGTTTACTATATTAAAATTAACTTATTAGCCACCATCAGTGTTAAATAAGTGCTTTTCCATTAGAAAATCCAGCAATACAGATAAAGGGTTCCAGTTTGGATAATAGCCAAAACATAAATTTCATAAACATGTTCCAGATTACCATGTTTGAAAAATGTCCACTATAATTCTGAGTGTTACCTGTCCATCTTGTCCACATTTGCATTCTTCCTCACATTGTCCGCTGGGGTAAAATACTTGGCCAAGGCGGTAGTAGCGGTCTAGAAAAACACAGCCGCACTGTGAGACTGGCACACAGAGGTCTCCGCTGAGGATGTGTCCCTCATCACAGCTGCAGCCCTCCTCACACCCTTCCAGGAGGTCCCGGGGGATCATGTTCAGGTAGGTTTGGCAGGTAGCGGGCCAAGAAACAGTACAGATGTCATAGTGACTGTTGACTGGGCATTTGAGAGCTGTGGAAAATCAATATAAAAAAATCAGACAAATGATTACAGCCGTTCAATAATCATTCAGGCTTGTAGGTTTTAGTTTATAGGAAATTAAAAGTGCACTACATAACATTTCTGAAGGTAACACCATCCAATTGTCTCCATGGAGAATTTATTGCTTTGTTCCACAGTATTACACATATTTATCTTGCATTTATCCAACTGCTTAAAAACATGAATTCTTACTGAGAGGGGTTACTTCTCCGCAGACATGACCTATAACATGACCTGATGGTGGACTCTCCATGGAGATAGAATACATTTACAGCGCAAAGGAAAAACATGTCCACAGAGATAGCAGATGGTGGATCCTACATCTGAGAATTTCCATAGTGCACCTTTAATAATGAGAAAAACAAAACAAAAAACATACCACAGAATTCACTGGTGCGCCAGTTGTACACCTTGGCTCCTGCTTTTTGACAGGCAGAAGTGTAATCTGTGATAGACTGACACAGCACATCTTTTCTTCCATTGTAGAGGCAGACATCAAAAACAGTCTTCAAAATGGCCAGCAGGGTCTACTTTAGCATGGCAGTCGCGGAAAGGACCCTTGGGATCTCTAATGATGCCACAAAAATCATTTTTCTCATATTTGGCCATCTCAGTTGTGTCACAATCAGGACACTTCCCTTTACACCCCTCCACACATCCTGGTATCTCCGCCACTCTCCAGCTCGCACCAAAGGCTTCTGGTTCAACAGGACTGTGACCATTTTTAGGAATAAGGTCGTCATCTGTTTTACCGTTGTAGTTGCCACATAGGCCACACACCGCACCCATGTAGGTACTGGGCAGGGTTACAAAAACAGCACTTTCCCAGTTGAATGTAACCTTTAGTCCAAAGTTCGTGTGAACAACGGCGTACCACCCACTTTTGTACACACTCACTTCTCCATCGTGAAGACTGATAGGGAGGTTTACCAATTCATTATTTACCTGAAAATGCAAGTCATTTAATCATTTCAGTAACTATAGTAATAATAAAATTTACAAAGCGGTATACTTACCATGATAAGTCCTTTATGAGTTCTTGTAATGACAATACTAAGGGAGTAGACCTTGACTTCAACTAATTTGGTGTAGGAAACAACTTTACTGCCTCTGTTGTCATTCTGCACTATAACTTCAAATGGGACCAACTCTGGATCGTTAGAGCACAGGGCAGCTAGCTGGTACACGCAGGTACCTTGGAAATTGAACCTCCTCCCATCAAAGGTCTTATAATGGGGGTCACCTGTGGCCTGACATGTTTTTTCAGAAACAGCTGCACACTTTCTGATGCCATCTACAACTTTGCACTGCTCTCCGTTCCTACATCCTGTCTCTTTGCACTCCACTTCATGGCTTTTGGGATCACATTGGCACCGCTTTTGACAATCCTTATCCGCCCAAAATGATTCCCCAGGAGGAACATATCGCCCGTTGTAGGTGCAGCCACATTTTTTGACTGGGACACATTTGTTTCCGCTCCACACAAAGTCCTTGTTGCATGAGCAGGTCTCTATACAGGGGCGTTTGCATTTGGTGGGCGCGTCGGGGTCAGAGCAGGTGGCAGGGCAGGCGCTGCCACAGGGCTCATAGTGGCTGTTAGCTGGACACTTGGCAGCTACAAGGACAAAAAAAATGTAAATCATAGATAATTACAAAATCAAAAATAGTGTCGACATCATGTTTACTCATTTGCAAAATAATTTATTTATTCTTTTAAGTAGCTTCAGATCACTTTTTTTCTGTCTGAAAGGAGAATATAAAGCAGTGACTTTTTACAACCCTGTCAGAAACCTATACCTAAGACAGGTTTACTTATTTTTTAAAAAGTACTTACGGCATTTGGATATTTTTCTCCAGTCGTTGAGCTCAATTCCTGCACTTTGACAGGCATCAGCATAGTCTTCCAGAGCTTTGCAGAGGAAACGTCGCAGACCCCCTCCCATGCAGATGTCATATTTACAGTTTTCAAAGTAGGCTTGTGGGTCAACGACTCTATGGCATTTACTGAATGGTCCATTTAAGACCATTGTGATTGCCCCACAGAACACATCTCCCTCCCATCTCTTCATTAGACTGTGCTCACATCTCTCACACTGGCCCACACAGTCATCCCTGCACAAAGCACCTTCAACTAATCCAGGCACCTTCCAGTTCCTGCCGAATGCAACAGCGCCCTCTACCTGCTTGCCTGAGGGAGTGCTAAAGTCATCATTGGGGTTTCCATTGAAGTTTCCACAAAGGCCAGAAGTTTTGCCACTGTAAGATTCAGACAGGGAGATCACTAGAGAGCTATCCCAGTCATAACGGACAGTCAGACCAAAAGCTGTCTCAAGGACCACAGATCGACCACTCTGAAATAGGACCAGTTTGTTGTTGTTCAGTGTGACAGGCAGTGCCCAACGTGTCTCATCAATCTAGAAGACAGAACAGACAAAAATATGTATTTGAATGCAGTAACAGGCTAGCTTTACAATAAAGATAATATTGAAAAATGCAAAAGTCTTACCCTGACATAACCAGTTTCAGAGCGGGCCACAATTATAGTTATGCCATAGACTTTGACTATGACCAGGGCAACATAGGACACTCTGGGGTTGCCTCGGTTTTCATTTTGAGAAAGAACCTCAAATTCTGGGAGATTGTTGTGCACTTCAGTGCTTTTAGCCATGACATATGTGCAAGTGCCCATAAAGTTAAAGTGTCGTCCATCAAATGTGCAATAATGTGGATCCCCCATTGCCCAGCAGGTGCCTGGTTTTGTGGACACATGATCGTCATTGTGGCAAGATGTACATTCATCAGACATCTCTCCAGAAGAACCTGAATAAAAAAATATACCATATGTGGACACAGCTTACTTTTGAATTTTTTATTTTTTTTTTGCCTTAGGATTCACAGTGGCTTTTGTGAGGGATAGTCTCCTGTAATTATGTTTTCTTCATTCAGATTTGGAATAAAAATATTATGAAACATTTTAAAAGCCCCAATTAAGGTATTTGTAGTTTATAGTAGAAGTAATATTTACTTGGAAGTTAATTATTGGTAAAATTGGTTTTATGTCTGAACAATCAATTCTAAAAAAATATTGACTGCATAACTTATTCTGAAAATCTATTTGGTGTACAAAATTGAGTGCATGTGTGAGTGAGTTGTATCAACACTTCAACTGGCAAGAGAGGCTAGTAAGACAAATTATGTGAGTTAACATAGCGACTTTGAAAACTATTCACTTCCTCCCCTTCAATAAACAAATAAAAACTTACCTAATTTGATGCATTGTCCTGGTGCACCGTATCCGTTCATCTGGCTTACCCCGATGCTGTACAGACCAAAGGAGGGGCCGCTGCTTGAAACTGTGGGGCCGGCACCATCTCGAGTCAGTTTGTAGGATATTTTTGCCCATGAATAATCTGTCCCTTCAATTCTTCTCCACTGAACATCTCTGGGCACCACTCCATCAACTTTAACATCTAACATTTGATCTGTTTTAGCCACAATTAAAGCCTGGTTATCAAATTCATTCAGACCCTGCAGTGCATATGAGGAACAGAAGAGATTTGTGGGCACTACGTTCATCAAAAATGGATCATAGAATTGGTTTTCCCCTAAAGGAACACCATTGAAGAGCAGGAGAACTTGGATGGCATGGTCAGCTTCTATGGCAAGTGTTGTGGGGTCGTGGTAGGAGATTTCCTTAATCCCTCCCTTACTCAAACTAAAAACATCCTTTTTGTCAGTTTGGACAGTGATACGAGTGCTCTGTGATGCCTGGATAAAGACGCTGTCAAATTTCTTTTGGAAGCTCAGCGGGGGTACAAGAAAGTTGGTACCCCATTTGCTAACTGGCAGGAGCTGCTCACAGACATGGTTACATCTGGAGAAGCGCCAGGTGCAAGAGTGACCTGAGAACACGGCGACTGGTTTTGTGGCGGTAATTTGGGTACCGGAGAGGGCGAACAGGCTCTGAAATTGCACGCTCTCAAATGGCTGAAGATCTAGTTGTAATCGGCTACCAGACCTGTACATACGCCCCTGGTAGCGAAGAGGACCAGTCAGACTGATTTCTACACTGTTGGGCTCATTACCATTTGTCACTGCAAACTCTTTATATGTGCCATAAGGAGATCCATTTGGAGTAAATATGAAATATTCAGTGTCCCATTCAGTGGTAGGCAGGATCACAGTGGTGTCAGTGGTGTAGCGCTTGTTGCTGGAGGAGGTTACACTGATAAGTGCAGAAGCTTCAACGCGCACTGTATTGGATGACTTCCCAGTGCCGTACAGCTCTACTTTATTGGGCAGGGAGATGGTGACCCCCTTCCCAGCCTTTAGGTCCCTCTTTTCTCTGAACTTTAAAGATGGCACGTCCACAGTGACTGTAGTGTCAGTCTGAACAGCAGTGATGTGCAGTTGGAAGCTCGGAGTGTCATAGTGTGGTCGATAATTCTGCATAAAACAGAGTGCAAACTCCTTCCCTGCCCACATGGTCTTACATGGGCCTGAAAAACAAAAAGCAAAAAAAATGTAAAGAATATATTCCTAACATAATACAAGCCATATTTTGTCATTTTTAAAAAGGTGTGGATCTGACACCTGCTTGGTAAGTTAGTGTGTTTTATTTGGAAAATAGCAATAGCAAATAGAAAAGAAGGTGGTAGACCCTTCATCAGAAAAGTGGATAAATGCTCTTTGCAGAGTTATTAATGTAAATGAATAAATAAAACAAAACAAAAAATGCTAGAAAAACACACAGTACAACAAAACAGGGACATGAATGACTGATGCCCTTCCACAGTGTACAGACGCAGGGAGACCAGAGTATTATGGATGGATTGCTCTTTTGTGATAACCACTTAGAGAGATTTGGACTGCTCACTCCACTGCTCCACAGCAGCACTCCATTAGTCATTTGCACAGACAATATAATTGTATAATGGAAATATTATCAATATGTGCCTTTGCTGTGAAAAGAACATTCGGAGCCCTGCCAGAGCCTGAGGGATTTAGATTACACTTCTGTTTGACCCACTCGGTATAATAGCTCACACTCAATAGCGGCAGAAGGTAAATGCTATTCCCAACAAAAGCTATTTTCAATTTAGATGGCTATCCTTTGTGCTGCTCTCTTGAATTCTTCACCTGTTTAACATTAGGTTCCTTTCACAGAGGCACCTGCTTCGGCCCAACAATGGACTCAGCCGATGGAGGCGACAACTCGGATAAATTACTTCACATTGAACCATGACTTGGCCACACAAATAAAGAGCTGAGATTTAAGAGTCAATATTCTTTTATCCAAAACAAAACAAAAACAAAACTGATTTAAGTGGGTTTAAAATGGCTTGTGACATGATTTAAAATGGCAAAATTTATCTAAAAAAAAAACAAAAAATTTGAAATTAGGAACCAGAAAAATATCAGAATGCAAACAATTAACTTACAGCTGAGGAGAAGCAGCGTGCCACAAAGCAGCAGCAGGAAACCCATGACTGTAAGACAGAAGTTTCAGAATGAAGCATTAGTTTATATAATTAATGCTGAATGATCAAACTGCATTTAAAGCATATTGAGCACTTACCTGTTCTGATGCACACTATTGACAGAAGTAATCTGCATCAGTTTATATAGTGCCACAAAAATGTAAGGAGCAAGGTGAGTTGTGTCACACCCCTGCCTGTGACTCCAGTTTTCTCAGTTTAATGTGCGTGTGGACGTGGGTGGGGTCTGTTCACCTGCACTCAGTCTGTAATCAAGGACCAGCTTTCAGCCACTTTGTCACGTCAATTAGACGACTATTATTGTTTGATACTTACCTCTCTATCAAAATTACTTACCTGCATCTCCTTTGTTCCTACCTCCTGTGGTGAAGACTCTTGTGTTTCATTTGCTGTTTCCTCTTCTACAAACCTCCTTATCCTCCTTATCCTCCTGGCCTTGGGACAATAAATCTGTTTTTGCAGTCACCTTGCCTTGAGACTATTTTTTGGGTCTACATAGCCTTAACAAAATGGGCTGGACAGGTACATTCCTGTGGCACAAATGACAGTGGATCTTGAGACTTAACATCTTAATTCTAATTATATAATTACAATGAAATAAGGAGTTTACTTTTAATTTATAACACACCCATTTAGGTACATTTCATGACACATCAATGCTGGGAAAGTTTGGAGTGTACATATCCATTTAGACTTATGTTATGTAGACCAGGGGTGGGGAATTATTCTTTCCATGGGGCCACATGAGAAACAGAAAATATTGTGGAGGGCTGGGCCAAATTATAATTATAATTAATATTAATTGTATGCACACGTCTTGATTTATATTTTGCGTCATATTGTACATGAATAAAATAAACACCTCTGAAATAAAAGCAATGCAACTTTAGTTGCATGAGGTAAAATTATAAAATATGTTTATTTTGAAATTCCAAATTATTTTAAATGGGCCGGTCAGAGTCAAACAAAGGGTTGTATGTGGCCTGGGAGCTGTACAATGCCCAAGTGGGATCTACAAAAATACATAAACAAGGAAAATGTGGAACATTATACACTGTAGGATTTCACCATGGTAACGGCCAGGTAACACAAAATGTCACTGGGTGGGTGGTGTGATACCCTACATTCAAAGGTGCTGTGCACTTTGGTGTAACCAAATATTGTAATCTAGTTTATATTGGGTGAGGCAAAACTGTGATAAAAGAAAAACACTCTTAGACATAGCACAATGCAACATAATTACCATCATGCATAGCACCTAAGCGGAATTCAAATAAACTGATTTTGGTACGCTTGTTCAATGGGAGGGATAGAGCAGAAGACTGACCACACTAATGCTTCTGTACTCATGCAGAGTAGTGCTATTTGTCACACAGGAATAACAGGTATCAGCAGAATACACAAAAGTATCGTTAACCAACATAAAGTAAATACGACTCACCCTGATCAGGTTGGTATTCACTTTATATTCACTGATAAAAATGTAAACATTTAATGTGTGTCTAATTGTGCAGGAGCTTGGACAGTGCAATGGCAAGTCCTTTTGGTGCTAAATTGTGGTTTAGGTTTGGTTGTTCAGAGTTTATAATAAAACATTCAATACATTAACATTATTATCATCAACCAATACAAGTTGTGGGGGGGGGGGGGGGGGTGTATTACAGTGTATATTTAAGGTGCACTATGTAACTTGTTTCCATGGAAATGTTGCCTTGCCTGGGATGTTCCACAGTAAGGTATTATACTTATTTATTGATGTTTTTATGTTTTGTTATGTTATGTTATGTAACGTCCTGATAAAGCAATAAAATCTTCATGGAGACAAGTAAGTGGCACACCCTCTACCAGAAAAGTTACACAGCGTACCTTTAACATTATTACAGCAATCATCAAATCAAGTTAGTGTGGAAAAACGAATAGGCAAGGGATTGTTTAAAAGTCAAAATGAATGACTCACCAGTGTCAGTGCATACTTTAGCAGAGGCTAGCCCTGATAAGAAGTTATTTGGGTTTCCACAGCTCAGAGGGACCCTGAATTAGACAATGGACTCCTTTAGCATTTTATGTCAGGACCACAACCACCTCTGAGCTCATTAACCTATTGAGAAAAAAAAGATTATGGATTTCTGTATGTACCAGTGGTTGCTGAATTGTTTTTTTTTCCTGTGAATTTTGTATGAAAGCACAATCATCACCTTAAGCCTAGATTGGGACCAACCTTTGTGCAGTTGGCATTTCACAGTTCACAGACCTTGGGCAGAAAACATTCAGTTCAGTTTGTTTAAGCATATGTATTTAGGCATTAATATTGTCATCCCGTCAACCACTTGAACTCCATGATTTATAAAAAAAAAAAGAGCACACCCACATCGACTGTTGGCTGTTCATGCTATTCACTTTTCCTGATTGTCATTAGAACAGACTGCAGTAAAGTGAAGTGTTTACTGTTCAATTTTAACAACTTAAAACTTGTTTTCAGATCATTTAGTTTAGATTAAGAAAGTAAGAAACTGAAACTTAAATCCTAAAATGATAAACTATTTTTTAAAAAGTATTTTCCATTTTTGGATAATGGTCCTCACTGCTACTGTCCCAAAGCCAAATTACTTTGTTTTGAGAAACTAAACTTCTAATTGTCCCACATTTGCAAGCACTGACAATGTTGAGTGAATGTGAGTGTGGTAAAATGTATCCTTCCTCCAAGACCTATCTGTGATTCCTGAGTTACAATTTGCAGCTAATGTCTCTGTACTGTCAGACATATTGCTGACATTAGCTCTGGCCCAGAACTAATTGAATTAGTACAGTCACTGCAGTCCAGATATGAAGCTACAGTTTTGTTTGAGCAATGGGTAAATTTTGCACACTTGCTTTACAGGTTGTCACACGTATTCAGCGCCTGTAGGGATGGGAAATGCCAATCTCATCCAACAAGTCTTATTGCAGTGGTATCCAGGGGCGACCCAGCTGTCCAGGAATGAGGCAGTGTTATTAGCAAGATGACCATCTCGTAGTCCCATGTCATCAGATTTCTCACCATTCAAGTTTCTGCAGAGGCCTGAGGTTGTTGCACATTGCCAAGACACAGTTAACCTGAGGTACTGCGTGAAGGACAGCTCAATTTTCACTCCTGATGCTGTGCTAACTGTCAGGCTGATGCCGCTCTGAACACTTCAAATGTGCTGTCAGCAAAGGGCACTTCAGTGCAATGCTAGTAATGTGAAAAAAACATGTATTTGGGAGAATGATTTACTTGAAGCTTCTGTAATTTATTCAGGGACATTTTAAAAGTGATGTCTTTATGAGGCTTTAACATTTATAGTCTATATGTACAATAATGTGTAGCTTTTAATGAATTAGCAGTTTCAACATTTTCCATAAAATAAATCAATAACATTTTCAAAAGATTTCAGTATGTACACGTGTGTTCTTGTTCAGACTGCTTGTAAATACAAAAGTGTTTCCTAGCTCTCCTACAGAAATTTCTGAACGATCAAATTGTTACATGAAAGATACAATTCAAAAGTCATTCAAACCAAAAATGTAAACCTTCAACAGAACAGGAAGCCACTTTGGGTTAAAGAGGGGATATTATGCAAAACTGACTTTTTGGAGCTTTCTGCCACTATTCAGAAGACTCGGCCCACAAGCCCGCATAACACATGCTCCTGCACATTTTCTTCAGTTATACATTATGCTTTACAACTTCACAAACCTGTTGAGATGTGCAGCAGTTTCATTAGTGGATTATCCCATTCATCTAGATTGTTGATGGGACTCCCAGACTACTCTCACTCCGGACTCTGAATATCAGTAACAAAACTGAAATGTATTAATCATTTTAAATGTAATTTTTCAGTAGATATTGCATTTACAACCCCCCAAAAAAGGTAATCTGGTGTGACAAACTGGGCCTTTGTCCCATTTTAAACTCTCATTAATTTGTCTCATTTTACACATTATGTTCTTCTCAATATCCTACCAATACAGTCGCAATCATTCTTAGTTTTGTTTAATTATAACATAACACATTGTTCATTTAAATATGCTATATTTGTTAATTCATTTCAGTTGCATCATTCACTATACTTACCTGCAGCTCCACATGATTCAGACAGAGGAGGGGGTATGCCTCATGTCGGCCATTTTTAAAGCCTCGAGAGAAGGTCGTGGGCTGGACCATGTGGAGGAGAGAACTGGTTTAACTTCTGTTTCATTTTTTTGTGTATTTGTTTTTTATAGTTTATTTTACACAGTTTAGTTTATGTTAAACACTTTGATTTTAAAAGGGACATGTAAACAAAAATCCTTGCTTTGGACTTTGGAAAGTTACCTGTAAAGGAACTGATCCTTACCTGGGGGAGGTACTTCCTGCTGGGGGTATAAAGCAAGCACGTGTTGTCAATTAGCGAGAGACTTCGGTGCAGATGGATGTATGGTGTTGTTGCGTTGATTTAAGTTGAGTTAGTTATTTTCTGTTTATTTGTTTGAACAGTTTATTTGCACCTCATATTATGCTACACGCAAGCCTGTTTTAAATAATTTTTTTTTTTTTTTTTTTTGTTCAAAGACACTTTTTTGTTGAAGTCTGCCTCCTAGCTGACCACATTGGCCAGCTTCCCCACAAATGGTGGTCTAAATATGCCATGTGGTATCAAATAATAAGTCACAGAAGTGTAATTGCTCCTTGTAAGGACAGTCCCCTCAACACCACATAAGATTTGATTCCCAGATCTTTGCACAGGATTGACTGTGCAGGACTGTCCAGCAGGACAGTGCAGTTCACATACAGACTCTTGATGTTCAGTCTGAGGCACTCACTTTGGTGAAACAGCCACAGTTTTTGGACTGGTGCAGCTGCTGCTGTGAATCACCCTGGCCTCACAGAGGCAGTGCTGCCTCAAACCTTGAGGAATCTCAATGGTGCCATTATCCACGTTGAGGCAGAGGTGAACTGGGGCTGAACTTAGAATATAAGCCATGGTTGAAGGACAGGGCTGGTCTGTGGAGATACAAATATATCTGTCAGTCAAGGCACAGGGCATTTAAGCGGGGCATAAGTTAAGCTTGACCAGTGATGCATTAGTACCATCTAGTGGCCCACATCTAGTGATAGTAAAGTCACCTCCCACTGAATACAATCCCCTCCTACTGTACAGTTTAAACAGAAAAGATTAAGTAGAGCTATGAAAATAACAATATGTATTACATTAGTATTGTTAAATAAAGTCAGGATAAATAA